CGGCACCAAGCCATGATGACACCCATGGCCTCGGAAGTGTCACAGCCAAATCGAAAGAAAACATGAAATAAATGACGTTTTAAACATGAAATAAAAATTTTTAAATCACGTTTTTTAGTGTTTTTTAGTGACATGTTCATCATGTTTATCATGTTTAATGAAAACTTATGAAATGAATAACATCATGAACACACTGAATACACCATTTATATCCATTCATCATATGATGATTCATGACCTCTAGGAATCTGCCCCATGCTTTTAAAGCTCACAGTGATCATGAATCCGTGTGCAAAGAGAAATAATCTGAAACAGCTTCGTTCCGTATCATCTACCCCGTTCCTGAGGAAGTGCACCGAACTTCAGGTCAAAAAAATGTAATCACTCAATCACTCAAAATCAAGGCAAAAAGCAGCAGAAAGCTTCTCTTCATGTTGTTGCACCTGCTCTTCATAGACAAGATTCAAAAAACACTACGTAAGTAAGAACGTAGTCCAGCCGATTCTAAATGCATATGCATATGCATGATACATACCCGACATCATGATTGAGACAGCCCCAAAAGGTATCTGGTCGAAACGCAGGCCGAGGGGCCCCTGTAGCGGCCACGCCGGCCAACAGAGCAGGCACCAATAACCAAGCTGCCTGAAAAACATCGATTCGACTTCAAACGTGGAAGAATAGCAAGTTTTGGCAAATGGATCTAAAATGGATCTAAAAAGGATCCAAGTCCAAGAATGCCTATATAGTCCATATACTCCCCTGTAGCCGTTGTCTTTGTCGCTCCATTGCAGGACGGCCTCTTCTTCGACATCTAGTGATTCTAGTGGCAGACCCTCGAACGCCAAGTCCCCATCATCGCCTGGAGAAAGCCAAGACAGTCATGGTCACTGTGATCACTATGGTCACTGACAACTGTGAATGAATTACAGAAATTATCCTGTTGTGACTCTGTGACAAAATGTGGATGCAATGTGGATGCAATGTGGATGCAATGTGGATGCAAATGACTGAAAAGGTAAATTTTAAAACGCCTAAGCTTTGCTGTCAAGGGTGCTTCCTGAAGAGTCCTGTCCTGTTCTTATCACTCTGAGTGCGCAGCTCTTAAGCCGTCGCCTTGGCCTCCAAGTGGTTGGCACCACCTGGTGTAACGTAGCTGACAGGATTGGCAGTGGCATTGAATTTGCCAATTTTTGGTGCCCACTCCCCCTGCATATGAGTGGTTACACAAGTTGCACACTGTCAAGTCAACCTGCCCGGAGTCCCGGAGCCAAATAAAAAGCAGCTTTGTGGCTATGCCGGCTATGGTGCGATGTGGGATTCAAATCATCAATTACTGGTCTCTGAGCTTGTGTGCTCAGCAAAGGCCAAAAGGGCTCCCTATCCAGACTGTGCGCGCCGTCTAAGCCCTTTACCTTCCTAATATTTCCCGATCCTATCTCACCTATCTCTGTCATAATTCCAAATCGGTGCCAAGACGCACAGGCGCTCTTGGTCTCTGCCAAGACTTTGGGTTCGCTTCCCAAGCGGGCAGAGCCTCGGAACACCAGGGGGCGCAGGTCAAGGTCTGCACATCTGCGCTTGAATAAAAGCCTTGTTCCCGTTCCAGGAGAAATGTTCACTACGACTGGAATGCATATTTCATACCATAACTAGAACGGCAACCTCAGACCACGAGTACATAGAGAGGAATAGGTAGAGATCGGTATGTAGGCATATCAGATAGGAATTTAGATGTGAATAGCTGGAATAGATGGGAATAGATCGGAATAGATCGAAATAGATCGAAATAGATCGAAATAGATGGGAATGATAGGAATAGATAAGATTAGATAATTAGGAGTAGATGAGATTATATGAGATGATATGTGAGATTGGGATAGATCAGACAGACAGCAAGACAGATAGATAGATCGATAGATAGTTAGATCCGCCGACCCCTAGCTCTCAAGATCGGTTTAATCACGTGCTGTGATCTTTGTATCTGCGACATACGGAGGACTTCCATATCTAAAAAAGTCATTGCTGCAATTGCACCAATGCGAGGTCCTCATATGTAGGCATCCGAACAGTGTTTTGTTTCACAGAAACTGCATTGAAGTTCGAACTCAGGCTACAATACTGCTACAATGCATTGCAGCAACAAAAACCAAGAAACAAAGGTGCAGCAAGATGCAATCAGAATCTGGCAAATGACTTAAGTCTACCTATCAAATCGTCGAGGAAGAGGTGTGTTCTCCAAGAGAAAGGATCTGAAATCTTTCAACTTCAAGCTCAGTGAAACTGTGCCCACGGCAACCTCTGCTCTCGAAGTCTTTTTCCTACATTGCGCTCTACACGCGGTTTGTCTGAAGCCCGCGATGGCTGACGTAGCAGGACGTCTTGTATCCCTGCGAAGATCACCTACCAACACCTTCCGTGACCGGCATTGCTTGCCCTCAGAACTTATGGGAGTAGCCATCTCAAAAGGTGTCCCCCCGCAAAGGATCTAGTCGCATTGTAAAAAACAGCAACGGCCTACCACCAACGGTCACGAACAGTCTCCAACATCAACCTTCAAGATCCTTCAAGAATCAAATCAAAGAGATTAGAATCAGCATAAGATCAGCTCCAGTCTGACTGGAGACTTCATATGCGACAAATCCTTCTTTGTCCTTTGAGAGCCCAAATGCTCTGGCGGGTGAGTGTCGCCAAAAGAAGCGAAATGAACTGTCGTTCATCGGGACAGTTCTGGAGGATAGAGGTGCCACAAGGCACAGAAATCTGATTTCTAGGAAAATTCTCGTGTCAAAACGTGCGGGAACAAAATCCTCCAGTCCCAAAGTGACTCGATCTGTGCAAGAGAGAGAACTGTGCGGTGCCTCCCGGCTCTTGGAAACTCACAACGAAGCGTCCTGTCTTCTGCGGAGCTCGCTTTGAGGCATCCGCAGAACATGAAAGTTCGACAGGACGGACATCGTCGTCAACCAATGGAGGAAAAAGCCTTCATATCAACTGGCCTTTAAAATTGTTTTCAGTGGATTTCCTTGAAAAAAACAACTTCAATGCATAAGCACAACACGTCTTGGCCCGTCTGCTTCGGACGAGCTCAAGACGAGAGACGGGAGCTTACTCTCACAACCCAAGTCACTAGACATATTTGATTAGAGCGGCTTGACTTTGGGGGGTCATACAGCCAACACGCATGTCAGCAAATGGCCGTAAAATGCCCCTGCCCAAACCGCTCTTTGGCGTACATGCAGGTATACAGTTGGGTAGGTAAGCAACAAGAGGGTTACCGCCGGGAAGTAAGTACACAAGCCTAGCACGTGACGAATGGCTGATTCAAATTATGAGTCAATAACACTTCAGCTTGGAGACAAGAAACCCGGGTCCCGGCAGGGTTTAAAATGCAGGCTTAAAATTTGTTAGCGGCAGGCATGCATCTGTGAACTTTGTGCTTGCGAGCTGCCGCTAGCTCCGCTCAGTGACACGTGCCACCAAAATCGAACATAACGACGGATGCCAAAGGAAAATCTGAAACCCAAACGCAACACCGCATATATCCTTATTCTCGATGAACCTGCAAATCTAAAGTTTGGAGCCTCGGAGCTCATGAATGTACATAGCTCGTCGACTGGCAAAAAGAAAAATCCAACAATATGGCTCCAGTTGGAGACATGAATCTAGTCCAGTTGTGGTATGCTGAGGTGCTCAAATGGTCGCCGCACTTTGAGGGCCCAGTTGGTGAAGCTCCAAGAAACCTACTCTGCAATACAATGATTTGGAATGAATTATCTGACGTGATGTCATAGGATGCAGTACACACATACTCATGCTGTGAAAGTGAACATAAGCTGATTACTAATGAATTCCAGCATGGATGACGTTGTATGATTTATGAGTATTTATGATATTTGTGAAACTACGATGGCCCTGCGTTTGGGTATATCACCGACTTCGGCTTCCGTTGAAATCGTAATGCCACGCGAGCTGCCGGATTCACTTGCTCTCCCCTATTGCTCCTTATCCCCCAGCCTGCAGCAGGGCGGAAGCAAACCTCAGCACCCGTTTCCATACAAAATGAACTCAATGAATTGACATATCATGACATATCATGACATATCTACCAAGACTCTACCCCCGGACCATCTTGGGTCAACGATTGACTATCCCGGCTCTTGTGGGTGGCAATGGAGCAAACAAAGAATTTGCAGAGGCGAAAGAGGAAAAGAGGGAGGCTGTGGAGGCTGTCTTCATTGCATCCTTCACCCACAGTCTCAGGGTTGTCGAGGGACTGTCCAAGCTGCCCTCCTAGTTTCAACAGCCCTCCAACCTGCCGGCACTGCTGACACCAGCTACAATTGATACGAGCTTGTTATGCAAACCTTTCCAGTCCAATTTTGTCCAATTTCTATAAGATTGAACTTCTCAACCATCCTGAACGCCTGTACACACAAGGAGTGCATGATGGAGTTGCATCCGAGCTATATATGTGCTTTGCAGACTCATAGAAACAGCAGCGTATAAGTATAAGGAATCTTGGAATCAAGAGCTCACATGTGGACAAGAAAATACAAGTCTCCACAGTCTCCACATGGGCATGATTCTTAAAGACTGAGAGCAAGCAAGATTAGTACGACTTCTAGATCATGGACATGGCAAATAGGAGCATTTCTGGGATCTCAGTGAAACTTGTCTCGGATGTCAAATGGGATTACATCAAGTACGAGGACAAAAAAGGCACTGCTCATCGGCAGGGACAAAAGATTACCGAAGTGTGTTCCATTGTACTAATCGGCATCAAGTACTGTCACCCAAGTTAAAAGAGTTACATATGAGCAATTTACCAGGCATGCTGATGCTGCCTTTACTTCTGGGGTCCCGGGAGTCCCAATGCCATCAAACTAGATGGTTGTCAAGTTGTCCAGGCAATTCATCCTACTGTCCTACTGCCCCTCCCTTTCTTATCCTTTCTTCCAGTACCCAAAGGGTTCCGTGGCCGATTGGATCCGATTGGCCTACTGCTTCTTGTTCAACTTCCTTCGCTGTTTCAGGTCCTTCTTGCGGCGGATCTTCTCCCCTGCCATGAGCCGGTTGCCAACCAAAAAAAAATGCCACATTTTAAGCATGTCCTGTGCAGAAAAGGATAGAAAAGGCTTGTGAATTTCGTGAATCCTCAATCATCAGCACAGACCTGGTGGGCAAAGGTGGCAGAAAGCACACTCGAAGCCACTTTGGCATCCATCCTGCATGGAGAGGCAGCGTCAGGAAATATATCCTACTTGACCTGTCCGAGATTAAGATCTTTGCATGCGACCTGACTCCATGTAAAACTGCAATTCGATATTCGACCTGGCTTCTATATCTTCTATGTACATAGTTTTCATCTCATCTTGATTTAGAAAAATAAATCTGCTCTGTGTCTCTTTTCTGGCTGGACATTCCGACATCCAACCTGTCATAAGTTACAAGTTGACACCGTATCCTCAAAACAGTGCTAAAGGCATTCGCACATCTTGAATCACGCAACAATCGCTCAGCCACTCAGTATTGAGTGGGATCTAGCAGGAAAGCCATGTGGCATTCTGATGAAAGTTGATGAAAGTTGATGAAAGCCCAAGGAAGTGGATCAGGTGATCAGGTGAAGTGGGAGTTTGTCTCTCCTTGTAGAAGAAGGCACAAGGCTTGCAAGCTCCGAGTCCATGCCCTGCCGAGCCACGCGTTGGCAGCTCTGCCTCGGTGACGTCAGATCGTCAGTTCGTGTTATGTCTGTTATGTACTGTCACTATCTGTCACTGTTGTAGTAAGTTGTAGTAAGTATGACCTTGGTGTGACCAAAGATCACAGGATTCCGATAGTTGGCAGAAAGCCACAAGGAAGGTAGAAATCTCCCCAGTGGAGAATGGAATAGATCGTTTCAAGAATCATGAAATATCATGTAACATCATATAATCATATAATGCTGTGTGTCATCTATTCATTGCACCTTTCCCAAATGTTGCACATTCTGATCAAGACTTTCTCATATATCAGTTCTCGGCAGCTCAAAAACTCAATCGTCAACCGTGGCCCTGACGCTTGGTGTTGCATTTACCAAAGGCAGCCCTGACACATCGAATCGTTACAATATTTCCAGCAAAGGTCGTAGACGAAATGACCAGATTGTCACTTAGAAAGACATCTGCCAATGAAGTTCAAAGACAGAACCGGGAATTCAGTGTCAACTTGTGCTATCATCACTCGTGATCCTGTGTCAGAAACAAACTAAGAACAAGAAAAGAGATCACGGATGATCACGGCAACTGGCGCGCCTACAGCCACATTTTCTGTGTCAGCAGTGCTAGCACTACTGCTGTGTGGTGCATTCTCCGCATCTGAACGATTCTCTGTCTCTGGCTCCTGGATCGTCAGGATGCCAGAAACAAATGATTTCAAAGAGTTTCAAAGACAGAAATTCCTTGTGAAGTCAGCACTCTAGTAGTGTAAGTAGTGTTAGTAGATGTTAGTAGTGTTTCAGTTTCAGGCCTTGGCACCAGCTGCTGGCGCCTCAGTAACTATAGTGCGGCTCACGCGGGGAAGCTCGAGAAAATTAGAATGAGTCAAAGCACCGACCACGACCTTCGTGTTTTTTATGGACGGTGAAGTGTCTGTGAAGTGTCTATTGAAGACTTGAGAGCAGGCGGAGGCGGACGAAAGGTAGTGTAGTGGGAGAGGAGTGGTGTCAAAATGCTGCGCCCCTAAGATGATACACCAAAAACGTTTTTGCGCAGTCTAAGATGATTTTATCCAGAGCATGACTGCATGACACTGTGTCTTGTGCTGCGTGAAATGATGCACGAAAAGGGGTTTATTTAAAACCCCTTTTTAAGACCCCTTGCAGCAACTGTTATTGAGGCTGAAGCATACCAATTATGCTGGACTACAGGGACATCTCCCTCATGGAAAGTGTGCCTCTAATGTGGGGGCCCGTGACCGCGTCACCCGTGGGAATTGAACCCATGACCATTTTCGGGGGGGGGGCCCCGTACGTTCGACACTTGGAGGCTATATCGCAAGCCAAGAGGCTATGGATCAACACTAATCAAAAGGCAGCGAAGCAAACCATAGGCGCAAAATGGACGCAACTGATTCCGCCTGCTTCGGGCCGTAATAGGCTTTCCAGAAAGACATGCCGACGAAGCCGCTGAAACCACTGGCGCCGATCAAGCCAATTGAGCCGATGAGGCCGCTGGAGCCGATGAGGCCGATGGAGCCGCTGGAGCCGATGAGGCCGATGAGGCCAACGCCGATGGAGCCGATGAGGCCGCTGGAGCCGATGGAGCCGCTGGAGCCGATGAGGCCGATGGAGCTATTGAGGCCGATGGAGCCGATGAGGCCGATGAGGCCGATGAGGCCGATGAGGCCGCTGGAGCTGCTGGAGCCGATGAGGCCGATGAGGCCGATGGAGCCGCTGGAGCCGATGAGGCCGATGGAGCCGAGCCGATGAGGCCGCTGGAGCCGATGAGGCCGATGGAGCCGCTGGAGCCGATGAGGCCAATGGAGCCGAGCCGACGAGGCCGATGGAGCCGATGAGGCTGATGGAGAAGCCGATGGACGTGACCAGGCGTGCCACAATGCAAAGCACCCATGCTCTCAAAGTGGCGCTTGGCGCCGGAGATAAATCCTATGCAGTATTGCCAGTATAAAAAGAGTTGCAGGTTATAACTACATGTATCGAGACACCTTAACCCATTCCACCCTGCTTACATGCACAAGAAGTGGTGCCGCAAAATCGACGCCAACCGTCAATGGCACGGGCCCCCCCCCCTTATAATTGATATCCAATACATAACGGCGAGAATTCCATGAATTCCACGGGCTGGCCCCCCAATACCCCCTAAGCTTGTGCTGAAGCACGGAGAACTCAGGTAGCTGACGCTACCTTTCGTGATTATAGTAATTATAGAAGTACCTTAGGACTTAGGACCTTTGAACGAAGAAGCTGCGCTGATGTACTGCAGAGTACAGGCAAATTGGTGACTCGATGCACCAGGGCTCTGACCAGGCCCGGTGGAGGACGGATCGCCTCCGCACTCGAATCACTCCTTAGACGCAGCGCTGGAAAAAAAAAACGAGTTCTCCATGCGGATGTTTGAAGCTAAACAAATGCCCTGCTACCGCAGAAAACGACACGTTTGCTGCTCCTACTTTGAGAAGAGACCGCCAAATGATTTCTAAGAAAATATGCGTATGTATACACACACATATTTGTTTTATACATATACATCAGTGTATATGTTGTATATGTATTTGCATGCGCTTACTGTATACATGCAAACTGCTTTTTGCAGCACTTCTTCAAACACTGGGCCCGTAGCCAATAGAGAGGCTGATCGAATTGCAAAGCAGCGGTCCTAAGCTTGACATCAGGGCACGCGAACCAGTCGAGCCCAATCTCGGCTGAAAATGTATGGCTTTCATTTACCTTACTGGACCCTCAAAAGTCAGGGGAAGTTGGCGGGGAGCATCGGGGAGCGATTGCCAGCATGTGCCACCAAAATTCATCTTCAACGTCTCTCCAGGGCCTCGGCAGAATGAGGGATGGTGACAACACAAAACCCTTGAGCTGTTCTGTTTTCTGTTTTGAGCAGTTTTGAGACGCTTTGAGATCCTCCAACGCTCATATTTCACGCTGTGTGTACTACTAGTCAAGTTACTAGTCACAAGTGCCCATAGTCAAATCTGATATGTCAAGGTTCCACGGCCACGCCAGGTCGCTGTTTCGCTCTATGCCACCATCCAATACCTATGCATTGATCTTGGGGTCTCCTGCGGAGTGCTGGTGGCTCTAAGGAGCTGGCAATAGCTGAAGCCCTCAGAACGACCTTCGCTGCGGGCGGGCGCCAGGGAGAAAGCGGCACCTCAATGAGTCGCGGCAACGTCTCGAAATTACTCAAGCTGAGCAAATCAAAGCAAGTAGGGCCTTTGAATTGTTTTTATTTGTCAAAATGAGTCGGCATGACTCTGACAAAGCATCCACAGAGCATTTTTGTGGAGTAGGCTTTGATATAAACTTGTTAAGGGCGTTTCACTCTTCACATGCAAAACGGCTGACGTCGATCATGCTGGCGTGTTTGTCTTGGGTGGCTCAAAGCTGGTGCCTCCGGTGGATGTCTGTCCAATAGTGCCAGGGTATCCGAACATGACCTCAGAACGGCAAAGTGAACGGTGATCGATGAGTGGAGTTGTGTCAAAGATGAGTACATTCAGTGCCGCCAGTGCTCACAAATACCGTGGCAGATCCAACCAGATCATAAACAACCCAGCACTCCTTTCATCTCCTTTCCGTGAAGTACAAACAGAAAAGTGTGCAGAATGCCAAACCCCTGCACCAAAGAAAAGCCACAATGAAATTCAGATATTTGTTTTCAGAACAGACTGTTTAAAATGCATCTGCAGATTTTTTCTGCGTTCGGGTCTGCCTTGGTGGTGACCATAGTTATTAAGGGCGCAGCTGCGGCGAGTGGAAGAGTCCGCTTCTTCGCAAAGTAAATCGGCACACAAAGGTTGTGAGCAAAGGATGCTGCGGAAGTGTAGTCTTCTGGGTCTGCTCAAACTCTGCCTGTGAAAGCTGTGACTCATCCTGAGTCGGAGTGATTGATGCAGTTCTCAAAAAAAGCGTTTTCATAGCTACTTTCACATTTCTGTGACATGTGTGTGTGTGCAAACATTGGTTAACTTCTATTTTGACGACTCCATGCAGCCGTCACTCTTGCAGTGCTCTTTCCCATGCCAATGCTCTGAGCACTGGGGCCATTGAAGTAGCAATGCTCCAGGGGCAAGTTACCACCACGCTGGGCATAGTACACACCAAAGACCTCGGTTCAGAAGCATCAAAAGTCGAAGCATCAGCTACAGACGTGAGAACAAACATGGATAATATGCGAGTGGCTGAGAACAAGCATTGCACCACTTGCCTGATGGTGCAGACTTTTTGCATGCGCTGAAGACATTTAATGCTGCCTTGATATCACGTCAAACGTTTCCTTCTTCGGCCTCACTCGTTTCACTTTTGTTTCATGTCTTTGACAACAAAACGAAACAGTGGGAGGGCTACTTGTGCTCTCTTGGGTTTGCTACCCTAGTCCAGCACTTCCTTTCTGTTTTTTCCTCCCAACTACGTGACTGCACGGTCGGGGCTTGCGGATGGCCGTATGATTTTGCGTGGCTGATCAGCTTCGAAAATCATAATTCATAATGAGTCATGATGCCTACAAACCGGCACAAACCTGGTGAGTTCCTGTTTGAAATGATTTGCCCTTAATCAAAGCGTGTGTCATAGATTCAAAATTTGCATCCAGTGTCTTCTAAAAACTACTTTGTTTTTTCAATTCATAAGGCCTTCACAGTTGTTGAAAAACTGTCCACCGCTGAAACCATAGGCAATAAAAACTGGTGTGCTCAAGTTCAAGTTGCACACGTAGCATCAAGTGTTTGCACAATGAATGCTGACATCCCGCCCAACCCACTCCAGCAATGTTGCAACGAAGCATGACACTGCATCCAGATTCAACTGAACTTTAATATCCCACACCAGCCCCAGCCCCCCAAAAAAATCTATGATAGTACCAAAACTAAGAAAGAATGACAATGCTGTTGTGCAAACTAACAAACTGTGGTCACTGTGGTCACTGTGGTCACTGTGGTCACTGTGGTCACTGTGGTCACTGTGGTCACTGTGGTCACTGTGGTCACTGTGGTCACTGTGGTCACTGTGGTCACTGTGGTCACTGTGATCGTGCTGCATTGCCACTGCGTTGCCATCGGTTTTTGCAAATGCAATGGCGCTGTATCAGCTACGTATGTTTGAGCCTAGATCTGCGTGGATTCTTGTCGTTGCTCTGGTTGGTACACCTTCGGTTGAGTCCCAGCTATCTTTTACTTTTTGCTCTAGATGTTTTTACGAAGATTTGACTTGGTCTATAATTATAAAGAATTATACGTATAGATCTCCTAGCTTGAGCTTGTTCTAAGAGCTTTTGTTTGTCCTATTGGTTCTTGATCTTAAACCTGAGTCTCCTAGCTTAGCTTGTGTTGTAGCTTTTGTATTCATTTGTATGCTAATTATACTATAGCCATAGTTTGATCTTATTCTAGCTGTCGATTGTATTCTAGTTGTAGCTATAGGTATGCATAGACCTTTAGATCTACTCCTGGACGGATTTTGCTTTGGATAACCTCACCCCCCACCTCTTCGTCCTCTTCGTCCTCTTTGTTCGTTTCCGCTTCCTTTTCTTCCTCGTTTATCTCATCTTTCTTCGGTTTTTTCTCCATCTCCTGTTTCGTTGCTCCCGCCAGCCCCTGGGATGCTCCATTGTTCTCACAATGTTTTAAGCTTTTGCACCAACCAATTTTACACCATTTGATCTTCACGCGATCAAGGTGTTGCACCAACCAGCTTTTGCACCAACTAGCGTTGCACAGCCTTTACGCAACCTAGCTTCTACACAACCTAGTTTTTGCATGAACTAGTGTTTTGGCACCAACTACCATTTACCCAAATCAACTAGCCTTTAATCTGCTGTTTTTTCCTTCATGTCCCAGGCACGCCAGCCGCAAGCCACATGTCCGGCGGAATGCTGAAGGCTATGAAATATTGAAACATGCTGTCTTGAGGGGCCGTTACAGTAACACGACCCCAGGCAACTGCATGCCTTCAGCCACAACTGTACTTCCTTGAGAAAATTCAACGTCTCCGCCCTTGGACGCTGTACTCTGAGGGAATGGCATAGTCCGCTACATCCCAAATGTTTGATTTGCCTCAGCACCAGAAGCATTGGAGCATTGTGCATTCTGAGTGCTCCTATCCTTTTCTTTTTCCTTCCACATCCACTGAGACTTCGACATTCCTCAGGCACTTCATGGCATTGAAAGTCTTGCAATTGGCGGCAGGCATCGCCTCACGAGGATGGCTCCAAGACCGTTTCAAATGGATTTGGGATGTTGGAAGATGTTGGAATATTCTATGTTTCTATATGTTTCTATGTTTCATCAGGAACAACTCTGTGACGCTCATCGGTGCATTCACAACGTTGCGACAAGTGGGAGACCACATGTGGGAGACAACTGGGAGTTGTGGGAGCCAAGTGGAAAACCGCATCCGGAGGTTGCTGGGAGAAAACATCTGGGAACCCACATTTGGAAGACAAGTGGAGACATCTGCGAGACAATTGGGAGACGAGGTTCCAAGGTTCCAGGGACCCTGCCCCATGCAAACAAAGCTGGGAGACAAGGCGGAAGACGAAGTGCAGTGGGAGACACAGTGGAAGACACAGTCACAGTGGGAGGCAAGCTGGGAGACACAGCGTGAGACAAGTGAAAGCGGAGATAAGGTGGGAGACAAAGTGGGAGACAAGGCGGGCGAGACACAGTGGGAGACACAGTGGGAGACAAAGTGAGAGACAAGGTGGGAGACAAGTGTGGAAGACACCGTGGGAGACAACGTTGGAGACACGTAGGAGCCACAGTGGGTGTCGAGATGGGAGACAAGAAGGGAGACAAGGTGGGAGACAACGTGGCAGACAAGGTTCCAACGTTCCAAAAAATCAGAGTTGGAGAAACAGGGGGAGACATAGTGAGGGACAAGCTAGGAGACAAAGTGAGAGACACAGTGGGAGACAAGCTGGGAGACAAAGTGAGAGACACAGTGGGAGACAAGCTGGGAGACAAGCTGGGAGACAAGTTGGCGACATGGGAGACAAGGTTCCAAGGTTCCCAGAACCCTGCGCATACATGCCAAAGGAGGGTGGAACGCGATACCACCGCCTGCTTCTATGAGATTGAAACCCAACAGTTTTCTGCTGCTGGGAACTATTTCACAGACCTTGGTAATGCATCGAGCAAAACCCTTGTAGCAGCTTGTAGGTTTTCCCTCCAAAGGCGTGACCTACTTCATGGATCAATAATCACGAACAGTCAAAGCAGAGCCGCGCAGCGGTATTTCATGGCCTACAACTAGAGATACTCCGGGATGCTTCAAGCTGCTTGCAGGACTTTATGGGCTCTGTCGCTCAACAAAAGCAATCCACATCTAGAAAGCAATAAAACCGATCTCAGGATCACTTGAACTTGAACCAATCTCAGGATCACTTTTATGCAATCCTCAAGCGTAAAAGACCTTTCGAGACATGCCAAAGAGCTACACCTACCAAATCATCTCATGGGATTCATGCTACGCCGCTATGCTGCTTCGTCACACATGTCAGATTCATTTTCCCCTCGCAATCCTAGCCTACAGCACTTCCCACTGCAGGCGCGTGGGAGTCCCGATCAGCAATACAGCTGGCCCCCGTGTCCGTCCAACCTCAAACTGATAGACACTTGTGAAGCATGGTCGCAGCAGATGCATTGGAATGGCAACTTGATTGGATTGGACTCAGGGTTCAGGAGTGTGAAATAGGATATGAAACAAAACATAATCACTCCTAGAAACTAGTCTTATCGGAATGTAGACTTGCCAGTAAAGTGATATCTCTTTCTTTAATTTGTTCCAATTGAATCCAATTGATATGTTTTTCTCTGTCATCTCACTGGGTACGCCGACTGGTCCAGCTGGGCTTCTGCTGCAGCTCGGAAATCATCGTCCCAAATGGCCGAAAATGATCTGCGCAAACGCACAGACCGTGAATCCAATATATAATCAATGAAAAGATGTGTTTTCTATACGTACAAATGTGTATGTATATACATATATGTATTTATTTATTTACTTATTTAAGTATATAAACACATATACATACATATATACTGTATGTGTATATTATATATATATATATGTGTGTGTGTTTTCACAAGCGATATGCAGTTCAGTTGAACCACACGTCCGCAGCAACGAACCCTAAGCCGGTTGCTTATTTCACTTTTGGGGTAAGAAATAGCCACTGGTCTTTGTTTTCTGCAATTGGGAGAAGGAGATGAATATATAATATATCTGGTAGTATCATACCATTGTTTCATTCTGGAGGAGGAAAATTGTTTGAGCTCTGCAATGGTGAAATGTTGGTAAAACGAATGTAAGAGATGCCCTAAAAGGGGAGGGGATTGACGGAAAATTTGGATACGACTGCGGCTTCTGCGATTTCTGGCCAGTGAGCCCGAGGGGCACCACGTCTAAAGGGAGAGGAGATGGTTCGTAGGGAAAAAGATGGATTAAACATGATGTGAGATTCTGGACTGTCTGGATGTCGAAGGATATGACCAAGGTACTTGATTCGGGAGTCGGGAAATACGTATGGAGGAGGGAATACATGATGGAAGAACAGGGTGAAAGAGAGAGAGAGGGAGGGAGGGAGGGAGGGAGGGGGAGGTATTTGTTGGAACAAGGGGAGTCTGTTGGTGTAAGGACCCGATGATAGTAAGGACTTTTAATTTGGAAGATTTGACGGAGTGCCTTCTAGTGGAGACTATCAATTTTGGCGATTTGTGCTGGAGAGTAAATCTGAGTTCAGAGCCATGTAGAAGAATTGCGTGGACAATCTGAGTGTAGACACGAAGTTTTAATCGTTGGGAAAAAGAGGATGGCGGAAGAGTGGGTCAAGGGACTTAAAGGCAGAGGAAGCCTGGGATGATGATGAAGTAGGAGCGATGTAAGAGCCGAGGTATTTTGCGCTTGAGAGAGGAGCTAATGGAGTATCAAGCGAGTTGGCATCAGGAGTGGATTGGAAGAAAGGGGCACAGTAGGGGCAATGGCAGGTGGAGTCTGAATCGACATAGCGGGAGATAGGATGAGATAGGCATGAATAGTGAGAAGTTGGCATTTGGAGCCATTGAGGAGACCAATACGAGCAGCAAGGTGCTGAAGGAGGTGGAGGAGTCGAGAAAGAGTTTCATTGGTGCGAGCGATGAAAACAGTATCATCGGCATATTCAACATCTGTAAGTGGATGAGCATGTGAGTAAGTCCAAGGAGTGTAAGAAAAGATGTCACAGAAGAAGGAAAGGAGATCGGCGGTAAGGGCGAAAATTGATAATGAAGAGATAGGGACTGAGTGGGCAACCTTGTCGGATTCCGGCGAAAAGAAAAGAAGGAGAGTCAGAGGAGGGATCGGAGACATAGAATTTGCCCTTGTGACAGAGAGACATAATAGGCGGAGAGCGGTTGCCAGTTGAGGATGACCGATAGAGTCAAAGGCTTGAGACCAGTCGACGAAGAGAATAAGAGAATGTAAAGGGAGGTGGAATGACAGTCGAAAATCTCGGTGAGGCGACGAAGAGTGGGGTGGACAAAGAGTGATTAGCACTGAAGCCATCTTGCTGAGGCTGACGGTACTGGTCAATAGGCCAATAGGCAAGGCTCTGTTGGATCATACAGGCATAGACTTTATAAATGGAGTTGGCCAGGAAGATAGGCCCGCAGCTGGAAAGAGAACTGCTATTCGTTTGGTTGCCTTTGTAGATCATGATGACTTTGCTAAGTTTCCAGTGATCTGGGGAGCACCAAGAGTGAGACAATCATTGTGAGAAAGGAGGAGTTTCTTGATGGGATGGGGAAGGAGACGAAGAGTCTCCATTGGGAGATTGTCTGGGCCAGTGGCCAGTGGCCCTTCCAATTTTGGTACGGCGGAAAGCGCGATAGAGTTCCAACATGGTAAATGGAGATTCGAGGTCAGGTTGAGGAGGAGCAAGAGGATCTTCAATGGGATCTGGGAGTGGAGTGAAGTTCCGAACATGATCGCGGAGACGGTGAGCAAGGGCTGTGGATTTTTCGGATTCAAGTGAAGGAGTTCCATCAGGTTTATTAACGGTCTGGGTATGGGGTTGGTACTTAGAGCGAATACGTTTAATTGTTTTCCAATGTTCTGAGAGAGAGAGAGAGCCAATGTAGTCGAGGTGGAGATTAGAAGCAATCCACTTCTGTTTGTCGAGTTTGGATGACTTCTTCATTTTATTTCGGAGAGATTTCTCGTCATCAGGATTAGCATGAGGAAGCTGTTCTATCAGCGAGATGGTAGAGGATGAAATATAGGGTTTTTGTGCGACAGGTGGGACACGAGGAAAACAGGAATCAGCAGCGGAGGAGATATTCTGAACTATGGAGAAAATTGTTTTGTCAGGAGGGAGTGTAGGTTGGTGAGAAGCAAGGAGTGGAGGGAGTGGATCATAAGGGAATGAAGAGAAGCGACCAAGGGAGGAGCGGAAGTGGAATAAACCCCTTTGGAGGCATTTTGATCGGCTCGTTCGTTGCCAGGATACCGGTGTGTATATACATACATACATACATACATACATACATACATACATACATACATACATACATACATACATACATACATACATACATACATACATACATACCATTACATTACATTACATTACATTACATTAGATTACATTACATTACATTACATTACATACATACATACAGACATACATACATACATATGAATATATATATATATGTATATATATACACATAGTCATATAGACATAGATAGAGAGATTCAAATCCTGAGAATGTGCCAATTCAGCAGCTTCATGTTGAAACTGTTGAGAAAACATGAGCTCAGCAACTTCACCAAGTGCCAGTTGCTAGCTGGTTTGGACTGTATGTTCTCTCTATGCTAGTTTCCCTTTGAAGTTCCGAAGCATGACACTTCATAGCAAGGCATAGCAAGGTGTAGTGGTAACATGATAAGTGGTAACATAAGCTTCTGAGCAGGGTGATGCCATGGTAGCTTTGCAGGGGTGAAAAAGTCATCACAGCATAGAACTTGCCACGTGAGGAGATCGTAATACTGAATCGTCAAATGCTACAGAAAGACTGGAAAAAAATGGTTTCACATACCTCCCAATACTCAATGCCTCTGAGTGATGTCCAGGCATAGCACAGTTCTATTCTATTATGTTTTCATTGTCAAGGAAAAAGAAAGACAGAACTCTGTCCGCCTGGTTGTCCGACAGCAGTCCCACGGATACGACGATCAAAGGATCTTGCCTTAGAACGATGCAAAGGAGCTGCTCGACCGACTGCGTGTACATGTGATGAATTGTATATGACATCATTATGACTATGTACTATACACATATACTTTATACTACCTATACATATTTTGTACAGTCGCAAGTTTGTGTATAGTCATACAGTGCTGCGCAAGCTGCAAGCTGCAGGGAGAGAGACTTTATCACTGATTGAATCTCTTGCAGTAAAGCCACAAAACGGTTCAATTCAGTCGTGTCAGACACCTCTGGCCAGACGACTTGACACACCAAGCCAATGAGAAAATTGAAGTACTCGCTGTAATTCCATTCTCTTGACGTGTAAAAGGAAATCAGCAAAGTAGGCCCAACAGTGAGCAATGTCCTACTTCCATCTACATCCGTTGATCCAAACTTGCATGGGTGAAGTCATCCTGCACAACTATCTTTTCATTACAAAATGGATTTTGTCATTCGCTCTGCCAGCACAAGTAAATAGCCGAATGCCACTGCCTTCCCACCCAAGTGGGAGATCACGCGTTCCTGGAAGCAACATTCAGAACGGAAATATACACTTGGTGCATCTTTTGTGTGTGTGGTGCTTTCTGTAGTATTTCAGAGCTTTGCTTGCTGTATTCAAAAGCTCATCCTGACATCCCACAATTTGCACAAGCAAACACACCTTTTCAGAAACTTCTCAGCACTACTCGTCTTGTCTGTCTGGGGTCTGCAGGAGACGAAGATGTACAAACTCGTCGTGGCTTGGGTTTGTGTGGTAGTAGCTTCTGGGAATGGAAAGAGTCCCAGTTGGGTGAGTCTGGGGGAGCTTGGCTTCCGCACCACAAATACTCGCAGTTTCTCTGGCCGATCTTGCCTAACGTGCAGGGCAGCTGACATCAGGCAACCGGAGCAGTTGAAGGGACCAGGAGAACGAACACTGTTGAATACACAATGTACAAGCAAATACTAGTGGAATTCAATGAGTCTAACAAGAACAATGGTGAAGTGGAGTTCCTACCAAGGAACACGAGGAAGATGCCCATGCGATATCAACTCATGAATTGGTGAAAAGATGTGAAATGCGAAAATGACTCTTGGGATCCTGGCTGAGCGATGCTGATGTAGCCCTCGGCTGTAAGGCTCACCTGGGCTCGGTGCCCAGACAAACGAACATCTGGTCAAAATACGTCAAAATGCTACAGGGAAAACAGACACGTGGAACATCATGGAACATCATGGAACTACTATCTCAATTCAACTTATTCGATGGTTCAGTACAATGGTTGTTGCACTTTGGAAACTGCACTCCTTTGGAAGCTCATTGTCACAACTTGGGAGATCATTTTCACAATGAAACAGCTTTGCCTAGGTCCTATGAGGTTGAACCCTTGGTGAATTCAAGGCCTTTCGAGGGTCTGGAACACAGAATTCTGCATAGTCCTGCATTCGCATCCATAGAATCGCAAGATCTACGGCAAGAGCGGGGGGGGTACACAAGGTAAGCAAAGCGGTAAGCAGCTGAACAATTCCCAAATTGCCATGCAAGTTCTACAGCCCAATGTGTTTGAAACTCTGGTGTGCAAACATCTGTGCACGTCAGTGCACATGGAAATCCAACATTGCACATTGCATGTTTTACTCAGTACGCTTGTATATTAACTTTTCACCTGCCCGTGAGGTGCCAAAAATGTTTTGGGAGGTCTTGCCCAAGTCATCCCAAGTCATCCCATCACATCGCTAAAAGCTTTTCAATTCAGCTGTCCATGTGCATGCCACCGTAGGCTGTCGCAAGGGCTTCTGGGAGCAGCTCGCCAGTCTGCGGAGTGTCGGCTTCGATGTCGATGCTTTGCATCAAATTTAGGAAGTTGAAAAGTGGTGCACCAAGTTGTGACGATGCTTCGGATACTTCTTGCAGAAAAAAAAAGTATATATTTACACGAAAACCGTCGGGAAGCATAAGATGATTCAGGAAGCATAATGAATCCTATGTCAAAGCAAACTTTGACTCTGCAGACAACTCATCTAATTACTGAAAATTGAGTCACTTTTCAGCAAGCTGAGACCAAATGAAGCTTGGACCGCTCCAACTGAGGCTGATCCTTCAGTGACACGTGTGACATGTTCAACGTCGCGTGTCGCACCTTGGACTTGGCAGGCACCAGGCACCAGGCTTGGAAGATGTCACCAAAGTAGTCAAAGTTAGTCACTGAGAAGTCCTTCGAGCCAACGAAAGTAACAACGAAAGTAAGAACGAACCCAATAAATATGCCACTGTGTCAAATAGATTCTATAGATCATGGTGAGGAAATGAAGAATCGTTTGCCTCAATTAATTGCATACTGAAGACTACCTTGTTCAAAAATCTTCAAAAAGTCTTTGAATCAAGGCATATCAAGGCTCTGATCCAAAACACCACGCTTCGTACAGTGTGTGCCTGAGTCTGCCATCGAACAAACTGGTTCAACCTTTGCTCAACTTTTGCTCAACCGTCGCTGGTTTTCGTGAGAACTCCATTTCTTGAACAGATCAAAAACGTTAAACAGGCCCACTTCAAGAATCACAGCAGAGCACTTGAGCGGTCCCCAAGCTGGAACATGCCAAAGTCCAGCTCAGTTCCACCTTTGTCGTAGCCTTATCACAGTCATCAAATACAGCCAACAAGCATGCGTGTCTGTCTCGGGAAGGCGTCGTTGTAAAATCACGCTGTATTCATTTTATGCAACATCAATTAAAATTTTCACAACAGCCCAATATGATATGTCGCATGCTCATAGTGTTGGCAAGACATGCGTTTGTGTCTTCAAGCGAAGAGCGAGATCCGCCCGCACTGAAGGTGCCAATGCATTTAGTCTAGGCATTATATACATTGCAATGCAACCACTACAGCTACAGCTGGGAGGCCTTTCTTCCACTAGAATCCAGCCTTTTGATACCCTTTCGAGGGGCCAAAAAAATTATTGTAGGCACCCTCAGGCCCAACATGAGCACAGCACAGGCGCAACAAGTCTTCAAATGGCCCAAATATAGATGCAATAAATCTCCAAATCGGGCAATATGGGCGCTCTGCATAACCAACCCGGCAACCAATAAACGGGGGGGTTTACACCGAACCGAATGAAACCGAACTGTGCAGAACCGAACCGAACCGAACCGCAGCACAGTTTCTTTACCAGTGCAACCGAACCAACTCTGCCTGAATTTGGGTTCCTGTTAACCAACCAGAACCGAACCGCGGCCACCCTGCATGTCCGAAGGCATCTGAAAAACTATAAAATGTGGGAAACCCTGCGAAGGACAACCTTTTTTGCTGTTTGCAAACGCTGAAGGGCCTGTCAAAAGCTGTGTCAAACCTGTGCTGAATGTACGATGCTCATGTTTCTGCTGTTTACCAGTAGTGCCGCACAAGGCGGTGGCGGAACTTTCAAAAATAGGAAACCTATAGGAGGGTTGGTTGTTGTGAATCACGGATGGCAGAGCGAACCCACTGATGGACCCGAAGGTCGTTGGAGTTGTGTTTTTTGAAGTGGTTGCAGTGGTCAGCTCACCCACAACTGCTGAATGTAGTGTGGTGTGGCGTGGTGTGGTGTAATTGTAGTTGTAGTTGTAGCTGTTGTTGTTGTAGTTGCAGTTCTATTTGTAGGTGTAGTGTTGTGATGATTGTAGTGAAGTTGAAGTTGTAGTTGTAGTTGTAGCTGTAGTTCTGGTTGTAGTTGTAGTGTGGTGCAATGGAAGTGTTAGTGTGTAGTTGTAGTTGTTGTTGTAGTTGCAGTTGTAGTTGTGGGGTAGTAGTGGTAGTGGTAGTTGTAGTGGTAGCCGTAGTGTGCTGTAATGGAAGTGTTACTGTGCAGTTGTAGCTGTAGTTCTTGTAGTTGTAGTGTAGGGAAAATAGTGGTAGTTGTAGTTGTAGTGTTGTTGAAGTGGAAGCTGTAGTTGTAGTTGTAGTTTTGTGTAGCGCAGTTGTAGTTGTAGTTGTAGTTGTAGCTGTACTTGTAGTCGTAGTGCAGTGGCAGTTGTAGTTGTAGTGTAGGGTAGTATAGTGGCAGTTGTAGTTGTAGTTGTAGTGTAGCGTAGTTGCAGTTGTAGTTGTAGTTGTCTATCTATCTGTCCATCTGTTTATCTCTCCGTCTGTGTATCCATCTGTCTGTCTATCTATCCATCTCTCTGTCTATCTATCTATCGGTCTATCTGCAAACTTGAAAACGAAGCTATTCTGCAAAGCATCCTCCGTTTTCGAAGCTGAAAACACGAAAAACGAAGCAATTCAATTCTGGGAGACTTCCTCAACTTTTGAACTTGATAACGTCACAAACGAAGCACTTCTGCGAGACTTCCCCAATTCTGCGAGACTTCCTTCAATAATGGAAAGTTGAGCCCAGAGCCAACGGCCTCGTGCGAATGCGTTTTACGATTTTTCCAGTCCATGTCTCTAAAGTACTGCGCCTGCCACGAAAAAGTGATGCCAAGTTATACGAAGTGCTGCACCTGTCACGCAAAATCATCTCAGCAAACCTGAAAATCTGATGCTCCAAAATGCAACCGGGAAATCAGCGCCCAGACCTCCTAACATCTCTGATGAACATGTCTCTTGTACTGCGCCTGCCATGGCAAATGCATCTTTGCTGATCCTCTTCAAATGTCCCACGCCTGCCAATGCTTTTGAAACTGCTACAAAACCCATACGTTTTGCTCACTTTTGACAAGGTGCAGAATCCCTTGCGCCGGCCACGCGAAACAACATCTGAACGTCCAAAAGTGGTCTGAACATGTGGTGCTTTTAACATTTTGACTTGGACATGTGCTTCGCGCCACAACGGCGTACACTTTTTCGACAACTCAACTTCCAAAAGTGCTCCGAACCTGGTGTGCTTTGCACATTTTGACTTGGAAATGTGCTTCGTGCCACAACGGCGTACACTTTTTCGACATCTCAACTTCCAAAAGTGCTCCAAACCTGGTGTGCTTTGCGCATTTTGACTTGGAAATGTGCGTCGTGCCACAACGGCGTGCACTTTTTCGTCATCTCAACTGCCAAAAGTGGTCCGAACCTGGTGTGCTTTGTACATTTTGACTTCGAAATGTGCTTCGCGCCAGAACGGCGTGCAATTTTTCATCCAGCTGGCTCCGCACCCGCCGCTTTAGCGAGCCTACTTTTCGACCCTCCGGAGCAACAAATCATTGGAAAAACACAATGTTTTGCTACCTTGTCGCGCACCTGCATCTTCTGTCTTCTCGCTCTTTCTCTTCTCTGATCTTCTTTCTTCTCTTTTCTGACTCTTCCCACCTCTGTTTTTTCATCTGTCCATATTGTCGGAAATTTGACTTCTAAACTTCCTTCGATGATTTATACAATTTTTTGCATCCTAACCAGGCTCAATCAAGGCCCGTGAGCTCGACACAAACCCAACCTCTGAAAAACTCTAGTTGGCCCAACATTGGCTCAAAGTAGAACGCAAACAGGCCCAGCAAACCTTTGAATGCCCATGCATGGGCCCAACACAGGGCCAACATAGGTTAAAGTGCATCCCTATAGTGCAGCGGCTGTCCATTGTAAGAAAAAACAAAAAATGCAGAAGGAAATAGGGACCATCCTCCGGAACAGAAAAACAAGAAGCCGAAGAAGGCTAAGATATTCTCAGCACATCCAAGAGGCGTGGAATAGCTCCATCACAAACTCAAAAGCCAAAAGTTGGTACGATCTTGGAAATCACATGGCTTCAGAGTTGCTCAAGATTGGAACAACATGCCATGGAATGACCATGCAAGTGGCCAAACCTGAGCTTCAGATAGGTTGTACATAGGTTCAACATGGTGTTCCGGTCGCTGTGTGAAGTCGATACTTAAAATATGTGTTGACTTCCAAACCATGTCAAGATTCTCCAAATGGACAAAGCTAGGCATAATATTTATGCGTGTGTATATATATACATATTAAAAACATTATATATATATATACATGTGTGGTTATATTTCATGATAGTATGTAAAAAATCAATTAGCTGGAAATATATATGTTATACATAAAATATTTATATATATATTTGTTTATTTATTTATTTACTCAACCACCTATAATTATATATACATAAATATTTAATCATATGTTCCTAAAATCGTACAGTCGTACATAGTCAAATATATCTAAATGAATTACATTATAATCCTAGAATTTAAATATTATACTATTCTACATTATATTCTACTATATTGTATTTTATCTTGAATATCATGTATTTAATATTAAGCACTATATATCATGTTTGATTATATTATATGGTATTAAATGATATTGTGTTAAAGTATATTGTATTGTATTGTAATGTTCAATATTGTTTCAATTCATATTATATCATAATAAAATATGTTTTATTATATTATATTATATGTTGTTATATTATATATATATTACGCTATGTCATTTTTTATACCATCGATGCTCTTGGTTGCTTGTCGGTTCCGAAAGCTACGTTCCGCAGTGGTTTTGGCTGGTTTTGCTTGCTTCGTATCGAAGTTCCAGAAAGCAACGTTAGGCACTGGCAGCCCCAGCCAGCGGAGCCACTCCGTCCTTCAGCAGGATGGGACTCAATCACAACTGTGCTGCTTGACAAGGACAGGATGGGACTCAATCCTATATGTGTTGCTTGACAAGAACAGCCTGGGACTCAATCGGATGTGTGTTGCTTGACAAGAACATGATGGGGCTCAATCGGATGTGTGTTGCTTGACAACAACATAATGGGGCTCAATCGGGTGTGTGTTGCTTGACAAGAACTGGATGGGGGCACCTGAATGGCCACGGTGCTTGTAACTGGCTGGCGTTGTCGCACTGGACCCCACAGTCTCTGCAGTAATCCAAGAGCTTGGGTACGGGTTGGCGCCTCCTCCGCGCAGTCCTTCACTGAATCAAGGACCCAGTCGTGGGGCACAATTTTTGCTTCAACACACACACGCTTGCCGGCTTGCCATGATTGCAGGGCCATGATTGCGGGGCTCTGTCAATGAAACAGGCTTAAGTTAATAAGAGAAATTCAAAAGCGGTTTTGATGCATTCTTTTTCCTCACGTTGCCTATTGGTTGTTGGCACCTCTCTTTTGCCTCCATTGCCTCTGCTGATCAATGAACGAATTGGAAGTTTCCCCTAACGAAGTGGAAGTTGCCCCCACTGGAATGATCAGGGAACAAATGGAAGATGACATCCTGGGTTCAAACGGAGCTTCTGCTTGGCTTTCAACCAAGACTTCCGCAACTGGAAGAGTTGGCCAGCCTTCGTCATCTAAAAGGAAAAGAAAAGGTTGTTGGACCCGATCTTGATTCGAACATGGGGGTCCTAGCCTTTCACCAAGAAGGAAAGCATCCTGCTTGGCTTCCTCACATTTCGAGCACAGATCTTCCCATTAATGAAGCACTCATTACCTTGGACCTACGTCTCTGACGTTGCTCCAGACTGGGAGGTTTGAGGCATACAGGTGCCCATCTGTGAGTGATCTTTGCGGTGCCTAATCCTCAAAGGTATTGATGGGGCCCTTGCGTCTTTGCCCACCTTTTCTGTCTCGCCAGCCAAACAGGCAAGGGTATAGTTTTCAAGGGTTTTTAGGATTTGGGTTTTCTGTGAAAGGCATGTAATTATCTCGCTCCTTGGGCACAGAAAAAAAACGTCTATCTATCTAGCTTACTGCCTGCGTTTTTCCACTGTGGACCGTGGTTTTGGCTGGTGTTTGTCTGCTTTCTTCTTGAAATTCCAGAAAGCAACGTTAGGCACTCAACGGGGCTACTCCGTCCTTCAGCAGCATCAGGATTTGGCGTTTCGAAGCCTGTGTTTTTCCATTGCCTACAATGGTTTTTGGCTGGTGTTTGTCTCAGCACGGGGATTGACGTTTTGAGGTTTTCATTTTTCGCCATGCCAGGGGCATAACTGCATAACCCTTTATATGTCTATAAATCCGGCGATGCCTTCGCCGTTCGAATCCGGCGATGCCGTTGGGGAAATCGAGGGAACTCTACAAGTCGCTGCAGCATTGCAGATCTGGCTGCAGCCCCTGCCGCCGACCCTCCCCCAAAATCCTTCACTCTGGTTGTGTTTCACGTTTTTCGAGGGTCAAAAGTCTGCACAACATGGATAAAAACAGGGCTTGCTGCCAAGGTAGGGTTTGGAAGGTTCATTTTGGGCATTTGTTGGTGGATTTGTGTGTGCATGCCAAAGACACTGTAATTTACGTTTTTTTTGGTACCATTTGTGTCCAAAAAAACCTCTTGCAACATGCTGAACACTGCGTAAATACCAGTGCTCTTGCTAGGCGCTGGACAAAAAAACACTGTAAATACCGTGGTTATTATTACCAGTCGCAAAAAACATATCGTAAATACCATGCTTTTGGGCTTCCGAGGCGCTAAAGACATCGGTATTTTATGGTGTTGTTTGCTCTCCAAAAAAAACGGAAAAACACCACCTATATGACGATTTTTGGCCAATACGAGACTGAGAAAAAGCTGCAGGGGGTAACAACAGCAACAACAACAACAACAGAGAAAGCGGGCGATATTCTGGGCAACAACAGCAACCCTTGGGGCATCGCCAGTGCGCGAAGCCCTACAATATATAGCGGAGCGGTCTTCGTCTCGGACAAACGTGAATAAAACGCCTCTTGGTAGATCCACTTCGTAGTGTGCTCACTCGCTTTACATACTCAACACCACTGCTAGTCTGTCTACAATGGCCTACAGTCTGAGTGACTAAAAATGTAGCATGCCATTCCCTATTGCCCAAGCACCGTCACAGTCAACGCATCATGCCACATCATGTTGGTTCACAGGTGAACGAATGAATAAAGTCAACGCATGTCAACGCTACATCGATGTATGTTTTTGGCATTGCAAATGTTTGCTTCCGAAAAGAAAACCACACTTTGGTCCCTGGCGCTTGTGGAACTCGAAGAATGAAAGGCCGTTCAGCAGCGGGAAATCTGAAAATCAAGGCATATCCAGGCAATGAAGGCTAGAACCATTGACTGTGAAATTTTGGCACATCAAAAGCCCCTGATGGAGAACAGTATTTCCAAGAAGCCTCCCAGTAGAATCCCCCTCATCTCTGTTTCAGTCGCATTTTGTCAATTCTTGCCACCTTCCATTTCACTCAGGTGCACAACAAAGCCAAGAGGAAGGAAAAAAGTAGTCGTGACATGGTCAATCTGTTCCCAACCTTGCACAATTTGCAACATCTCCATGAGATCCTTCTTCACCTCGCAAGTTTGACCGCCAAAACTGGAGGAAATGCAGGCGATGCCACCAAATTCAAGCCAACAACATCCTGTTGTGAAATTCAGGGAGATCCGGAGATACCAATCTAATTTGAATCTAATCTCATGCCATGCAGGTCAAAGGCAAATCCCTTGGCGTCTTTCAAACGTATCACTTGAAGCACTGCAAGGCCTCAAGGTACATCTGTTTGCATGGACCCGTACTTTGAGAATTTATGAAGTATCGATAGGCAGGTTGATCGACTTCCAAATTCATGGCGTTCTCTTCAAACAAGCCGACTTGAAACCACTGTTCTTCTGCGGAAAAAGCCCTAGTTCAGTGCGAGATTGGTGCCTCGCCATGTGGATTGTGATACTCCTCGCGACCCAGTCTCAGAGCAATCTGCGCCCTTAACACACTGGCATCCATATCAAGATGACATTCTGTTCAAAGTTTAAAGTTTAAAGGTTTTTTTTCGATCAAAATACTAAGCAGTGAGATAAGAACCGGTAAACCAAGTCCACCAAGCAATAGGAGGAGAACACGATCCGATATTCGACGATATTCAAGCAAAGTCAAAACAAAGTTTCCTTTTCACAGGAACTCGTTGCCAAAGGAAGTCACTATCTGGAAGACTTGCAGAAGGGATTTTCTTTTGTAGACTTGCATATAGCAATTGCAGCAGTTTTGAAGCCACAACAAAAAAAATAGAAAAAATATAAATGCATTTCTTTTGTTATCCGCCGTCCTGGCGTTCATCTCACCCCGAAATACCCTTCTCCTGGATCATCACAGGAGTGTGAGGAAACTCTTGCTGGTACCTCATCAGACTCAATTTAGACTCAATAGAGCACAGTGTCGATCAGTGTCGCACTTGCAGAACTTTGCTGGACTTTGTCTTCCCTCTGATCAGCGATCACTTAGCATCCAAACCCTGTGAGGAACATGTCTGGGAGATGTGCGGCCTCAGAGTGGAAGGACTCTGAAAAGGTCAAGCTATTCATCGGAAACTAAAACCCGTTAATCGGAAACTAAAACCCGTTAATCGGAAACTAAAACCCGTTAATCGGAAACTAAAACCCGTTAATCGGAAACTAAAACCCGTTAATCGGAAACTAAAACCCGTTAATCGGAAACTAAAACCTGTTAATCGGAAACTAAAACCGGTTAATCGGAAACTAAAACCCGTTAATCGGAAACTAAAACCCGTTAATCGGAAACTAAAACCCGTTAATCGGAAACTAAAACCCGTTAATCGGAAACTAAAACCCGTTAATCGGAAACTAAAACCCGTTAATCGGAAACTAAAACCCGTTAATCGGAAACTAAAACCGGTTAATCGGAAACTAAAACCCGTTAATCGGAAACTAAAACCCGTTAATCGGAAACTAAAACCCGTTAATCGGAAACTAAAACCCGTTAATCGGAAACTAAAACCCGTTAATCGGAAACTAAAACCCGTTAATCGGAAACTAAAACCCGTTAATCGGAAACTAAAACCTGTTAATCGGAAACTAAAACCTGTTAATCGGAAACTAAAACCTGTTAATCGGAAACTAAAACCTGTTAATCGGAAACTAAAACCTGTTAATCGGAAACTAAAACCTGTTAATCGGAAACTAAAACCTGTTAATCGGAAAAACTAAAACCTGTTAATCGGAAACTAAAACCTGTTAATCGGAAACTAAAACCTGTTAATCGGAAACTAAAACCTGTTAATCGGAAACTAAAACCTGTTAATCGGAAACTAAAACCTGTTAATCGGAAACTAAAACCTGTTAATCGGAAACTCAAACCTGTTAATCCGAAACTAAAACCTGTTAATCCGAAACTAAAACCTGTTAATCGGAAACTAAAACCTGTTAATCGGAAACTAAAACCTGTTAATCGGAAACTAAAACCTGTTAATCGGAAACTAAAACCCGTTAATCGGAAACTAAAACCCGTTAATCGGAAACTAAAACCTGTTAATCGGAAACTAAAACCTGTTAATCGGAAACTAAAACCTGTTAATCGGAAACTAAATCCTGTTAATCGGAAACTAAAACCCGTTAATCGGAAACTAAAACCCGTTAATCGGAAACCAAAACCCGTTAATCGGAAACTAAAACCCGTTAATCGGAAACTAAAACCCGTTAATCGGAAACTAAAACCTGTTAATCGGAAACATTCGGAAACTAAAACCCGTTAATCGGAAACTAAAACCTGCTAATCGGAAACTAAAACCCGTTAATTGGAAACAAAAAGCTGTGAATCGGAAACCAAAACCCGTTAATCGGAAACTAAAACCTGTTGATCGGAAACCAAAAGAATCGGAAACTAAAACCCGTGAATCGGAAGCTAAGAAAATTGAATCGTAAACTAAAACCCGTGAATCGGCAACCACAGCTGAATCGTAAACTACAGCAGGTGAATCGGAAACTAGAGCAGCTGAATCGGAAACTAAAACCGGAGAATCGGAAACTAAACCAGCTGAATCAATCAGAATGGGCAACTAGTCCCCTTCAATCGGAAAGAGAAGTTGGAGGTAATATCCTGTTCAAAATAATGGCCAGAGGGGGTGGAGGAATTGATTTCTTATGAAAATAAGCTGAAGAAAATATCGCATTCAAAGTAATGGTCAGAGGGGGTGCCGGATTTGATCCCTTATGAGGATACTTTGAAGGTAATATCTCATTCAACATAATGGTCAGAGGGGGTGCCGGATTTGATCCCATATGTGGATAAGTTGAAGGTAATAGTAATATCTCATTCAACACAATGGTCAGAGAGGGTGCCGGATTTGATGTCTTATGAAGATAAGTTGAAGGCAATATCCCATTCAACATAGTGATCAAAGGGGGTGGCGGATTTTGATACCTTACAAAGAGAAGTTTAAGGCTTACGGTAATATCCTATTCAAATCTATTCAACATAGTGGCCAGAGGGGGTGGCGGATTTGATTTCTTATGAAGACAAGTTGAAGGAAATATCTTATTCAACAAAGTGGCCAGAGGGGGTGGCGGATTTGATTTCTTGTGAAGACAAGTTCAAGGCAATATCCCATTCAACAAAGTGTTCAGAGGGCGGGGGGTTTTGATACCTTACAAAAAGAAGTTGAAGGTACTATCTCATTAAACATAATGGTCAGAGGGGGTGCCGGATTTGATCCCTTATCTCATTCAACATAATGGCCAGAGGGGGTGGCGGATTTGATGTCTCATGAAGTTAAGTTGAAGGCAATATCCCATTCAACATAGTGATCAGAGGGGGTGGCGAATTTGGTCCTGTATGGGGATATGGTCCGGTATGGGGATATGTTGAAGGCAATATCTCATCCAACATAATGGTCAGAGGGGGTGGCGAATTTTATCCCCCACGAGGAAAAATACATAAATGCAATATCCTTTTCAACATTGTCTTCAGAGGGGTTGGCCGGTTTGATCCCTTATGAGGATAAGTTGGCCATAATATCTCATTCAACAAAATGTTCAGAGGGGGTGGCAGATTTGGTTTCAGATTCGCTTTTTTGGGTTTCTGATTTGTGGCCTTGTTTGGTTTCTGATCCGCGGATCTTGGTGTCTGATTCGCAATTTTTAGTTTCTGATTCTGAGTTTCTGATTCGCAGGGTTTTGTCATGTATCTGATTCCTGTATTTTAGTTTCTGATTCGCGCGGTTTTTGGTTTCTGATTCGTGGGATTTTGGTTTCTGATTCGCGGATCTTAGTTTCTGATTCGCGGGTTTTTGTTTCTGATTCTTTGTTGCTGATTTGCGCGAAGTTTCTGATTCGAGGTTTGTTCCTCTGAAAAAGGAAAGAGAAACACTTTCTCTTACGCAACGTGAAACGTGCTATCTCTATTCATAACTCAAAACAGCTCAGAGACAAGCTCAGAAAAGCTCCATGCAGAGAGCTAAGCATCAAAGCAGACTTACGTAGCGTTTCCGATGTTTGTATGAAATGTTGAGAAGGTTAACATGTGTCTCCAAGGCACAGGATTTGCCGTGTTGAAGCTGTTGTGGAACCTGTGCGAAAGCAGCTACGCAATTCGATGCTTCCAAGGCCATCGATTAAGCAAACAAAAGAAAGTGAAATTGGAGACCTGCTGGAATACGCAAGAAGATTTGACACCAGCTTGCTTTCGACCAGGCTCTATCCGCTGATTCTTTGAAATTTGTTGAATATTTTCTGACTAGTGTCTGAACCGCGCCACGCAATCTGTTACTCAAAATTGGGCCAGCTAGTTCGCTCTGCCTCTCAGTGTAAAACTTCGTCATGTTGTTCTTTGGGCTGTAGCCTACGAAGATCCATTGCACAGCACTGATAAAGAGATGCGTTGCAAAATGTTGCGAAGAATTACAGCAAAACTTGAAAGGAGCATTTGCAAGTCGGCCAAGGCAGCTACCAACTCGGGCAATGTTAGCATCAACGTCGGTCGTACACTAGATTGTCAGGTTTTCAGCCCTGGTGAATACATTAAATAGCAAAAACCTTCAGTGCATGCAGCTCATGATGTTCTAAGCTGCTGACCCACCAGTTCTGGATTTCGGAAAGCAGCCTGCGTCAGGGAGAACTCCATCCAAGTCTGGAATTGCAGAATTCGTCATCATACCGATCATGCCCCCAAAGTAATGCAATTGTTCCATGTCTTTGGTTCCTCCCGCTTCAGTATAACGTGGATCATGTGGCATGTGCCATGTTCAGACATGTTCAGACTTAAATCGACGGGCTGAACAAAATCCAGGAAAAACAACCTGCGAACATCTGCGAACCATGAATTATGATGAACGAACATGTTTTGGCAGCGGCTACAGCCCGGCTACGGCTACACTTGATCGAATCTGGACACCAGGCCCGGAGGATTGCCATTTGGCCAAGGGCAGGTTTGGACCTGGAGCTCCGACCCAACGCAACAGTGTCCTACAGCTGTTACTGTCTGTCCGTCACTGTCGTCAGGATATGTCAGGATATGCAATGGATATGTCATGTTTCTATCTCTTGGAACTCATCCTGCCATGGGGAACCAGGGAGGCTGTGACAATGTGACTCTGTTCTTCATAAATCCCATCTCAGACCCCTGCGAAAACTCAGGGCATCCTGTACAAACGGCAAAGGAAAACCTGAGCGCTTTGGACAGTGATCAAACAGTGGTATGCCGCTGTGCCATAAAATTGGAAAGGTTGAATTATATCCATTGAATTATATCCACCCACCAACTGCTTTGACCCACAAGTTTCAACCTTTCAACCGCAATTTCATCAAGCAAGTCAAACCACACAGAATCTTGCCAGTTCCACTCTCCCACGTCCAGACTGGGTCACCAGTACGCCACAGTGAAATTAATTCCTGGCGGAGCCAGTGGCTTGATCTAACAGCATCCTCCCGGATCAGCTGGTCATCAACCAGTAACATCAAGACCCTAAGTAGACCGAGCAGATTGTAGCAGAACCCGGTGAAAGCTGGGTAGACCCAGAGGATAGGCCCAGTGGACTTCAAAACCTGCCCAATTCTGTCTTGTGTGCAAGCGATCCTGGCCCCGTAAGGTTCATATCCTTCTCAGCATCCAACCTTAGCAGCACAGCTGACCGCTGGCCGTAATATGCCATAATTGTTGTTCGCAACCACTTTGCATGACTTGAATTTTCAAGAGCTCCACCGGCCAATGAAAGTGAATTGTAGGGACAAACATTGTCAGTTACTCAATCTTACCCAGCGTTCAACACCGAATAAATGCTCCCAATGTGGACTCTCCCTTTTTATTTGCATCCATAGAAACCTTTCAAATCTCAAAGAAGTGCCTGATTCGTTTCAGGACCGATGCCATGTAGGCGAACCCGATGCAATGATCATCAATCATCCTCAATGATCGGACAGTATGTTCTCAACTTTCCTAAACCATCCTAAACATCTCCACTACACTGGGCACCTCTAGGCCCTCATGCATAGCATCCACAGCACTCAAGATACCGCGGCAAAAGCTATGAGGCTCATGGATGCCAGGCCTGATTTTGCAGATTGGAAGGCACAAAGGACAGTTACGCACCAAGAAAGGATGTGGTTTGAGAAGGAACATGTTGAGCTGTCCTGGGTAAACATGTTATTGTCCCATGCAAACGAACAAAAAGGATCAGGATCAACAACACAGCACCCTTGTGATAAGATGAAAATGATAGAATAGAACTAGAAATATTAGAATAAATTTAGAATATGTTACTTTGTCCAAATTCTTACACGGGGATAATGCCGGTGTTCCCTCCACTCCAGACTCTACACTCCACACAGCATAGTTTGAAATGTCTTGGAGCTGTGGAACTTTGCCGGTGGTGAAGCTTCCAAAGCATCTGCCCTTTCATGGCCAGCAAGACACCTATCTAGCAATAGTGGAAATAGTAAATGCCCATTTTATCAACAGCTCCATATGAGACAAGAGACACACAAGAATCGAAAACTTATGAGAGCCTTCTAGGCTTTCGGACAGTTTAAGATCAGGCTCGTTGATGACAATGATCTCGTGCAGAGCGGGATGATATCTACCTGCTTGAGCTGCAATTTCCATAATGTGCATGGCATGGTGCACAGAGACAAATAGAAACGCATACTTTGATTCAGGTTTGCAACTAAACAATGTTGGCAGGCCTTCACGGTCTGTTGCTGATTATTTGTCGCCATATCATAGAGTATGTGTTTTGTGCTTCGCTCCAACACGTTTTGAAGTGAAGGAGGGTCTCTTCAGAACTTTAGACGGTTCTCCCATACATACACTTTTCTTTGCTCTCGTATACCCTTAAAACATCTTAAAACAGGTTGGTCTTGCATTTTTGTTGTGTGTATACTGTACATCTTTGCTGGCTTTCCGCTGTCCACCTGTGCCATGAACTGTATTATTCAAATGCGGATTTCCCTTCACTTGTGACTATGTTGGAATCGATCGTCAAGCTGGAAACACCGTCGTGGCTTAATACATCCTGTTAGAAAGCTGAAGCAACACGAAAAGAATCAAGTATCTCTGAAAGCTGTCCAGGAATTATACCCAGAGAGGAAAGCCCAACATTTCTTCCACAAGGCCACAACTTACATCAGCTTCTGGCACTAGATATTTCGTGCAAGAATATGCAACAGATTTTTCCAGAAAATTCCTCTGCCTGTACTGCAATGATGGTTCTCCTATGCCTACATAGTCCATCATAGTCCTCTGTTACGTTGCTCTCCCGAAGAATTTCATTGCAACATGCACCAAACTCTCACCATACCTTGATGGAAAAAATGCAACATGACTATACTAGTATAACCCAAAGCATCACCCATTCCGCTCCTAAGAGACCACTGAGCCCGGTAAGCCTTGTTGCAAAAAGCCCTTTTGAAGGAGCTCTTTGTAAGATCTTCTCACCTCAAAATGAACATACCAACATATGGCAACAAATGGCAACAAACCCATCTCCTGAAGATGTAGCTAAGGTCCAGTCAAATAAGTCGTTAGGACTATGGAATTGTAAAGTTGAAACGATGTGAAAGTGATGTCGCGCATCGCTCCGACAGCTTCGGCAAGATGTGGCTTGTGTTTCTGGCTACTCCTGTCACTTTTCACATGAGAGTGCCTGAGAGGCTCTCAAATTCTTTGGGTCAAACCGTTTGGCTGCCATACCGGCAGAGCCAGCAGGAAGACAAAGGCGAAAACACCGACCAGTTCAAACGAAAGCGCCGTATCCAACAAACCGCACTAGCTGTGGCATGAAAGCAGATCAGGTAATAGAAATCATGGCCCATGATATGCCATAAGGATCTCCGTGATGAGCGTATAACCCTTTGCTGCCAGAAAACTTTTGAGACCTGAAGTGGTACAGTGTGTTGCCCAAAAGATGTCGGCAAAGCTCACAGGTGAAGAATGAAAGGTAATGTAAGGTTTGTTGGCAGAGAACTTAAGATTCGGAAATCGGAAAGGGACTTTTCTCATTGGGACAGACTGGAAAGTTCTGACAACACACCAGAATGCAACCAACCAGATTGTGAAGGCAACGGTGTCATGAGTCGAATCAGTCGATTGTCATACATTTTCCAGAATCTCTCCTGTCACATCCTTTCACCCTCGTCCACACTCGTTGTGCTCGTGCCTGCTGATAGCAATTGAAATCGCTGGTGATGCAATTCGCGGGACTCTGTATAAAGTCATAGTCACTGAGACCTGATCAGAAAGTCTGTGTCGCTGACCAGTGACTTAGGTGGTTCGGAAAATCTTGTTTATCTTGTTTTCAATAGTTTTTCAATAGTTGAGTTCAAACGGGGAGGTCCACCTAGATGTTCTGACTTGGTAAAGTTAGCCAGTACGAAAGCAGCTGAACTTCAGAGGATTCCAAGGAAACACAGAACCTTTTCGACGGTGCAGCAACTATCTTCGATGGACGCAACTAGGCTCATGCCCATGGCGAAGATCAAGATCTCACATTGTCATTCCTTTGTGAATCCTATTCTTCTCACACCACGGTCCCCATCACCAGTGTCAAAACAAGGAAAGAATAAACTTCACCCTGCATGCCTGGAATCACTCTAAGGCCAAGCTCCTCAACAGCCAGAGACGCGCGGCAGACTGTAACACAAGGATAAGAGGGAAAAAAAAGCCAAGTCACGTTCTTTAGATCTAAATGTTTTTTGGCCATGGCCACAATGCACTTCTCCACTAGACATCTTGCATCCACTTTGTTGTCAAACAAGATAGTCAAACAGGTGCAAAATAAAACATCTGTAAGCGAACTGCTGGAGAACCACAGACATTTTAGCACCTCTCTTCATGTAATTAATACATATTAATACGCTCATTCACGTTGGCACAAACAGGAATCCCAACGAGAGCGGGAGATCTTGGAGCAGCGGGAGCCAGAGAATCCCGAAGCAATGAAGGGAGACAAGATGAGACAAGATTGAAAAACAAAGAGACAAGATGAGACAAGAGAGGAAAGCTCAGCGACAAATTCGAGAGGAAACCAATGTTCGAAACTCAGCAAACGATCCATTGAGAAGTGAAGTAAGAATCCCGGTCGCTAAAGCTGGCGAACTAAAACATCAAAAGCCTCGACTGGGTGACTCATGGTGAATCTCGTCAACCATTTTTGCTTCAGCAGCTTGAGGCCAGGATAGATTGATGTTAACAAAATGAAAGAAAAACGAACTCATGCACAACTCCCACCACTAGAATCAGTAGAATTGATCAATCTCAAATCAAATACTAAGTTCTGAAAGTCCTTACTCAGCCTTACTCCATGAGCACTACCGACTTGGACTTGCTGCAGAAACCGTTGAAGACACTACAATGGAATCAAGTGCCAGGACCGATGTCAGGGCCTGCGCTTCATCTAAAAAGTCTCGGTGCGTGTTCTCCGGATTGTTGCCGTAGAGGCCTTCAAACAGCACAAGAGCCAAATACTCAAATAGAACCTGAATAAAGTTTAACTAGAATCACATTAATCTGAACTCATTCTATCTCCTCCTCTTTTGTGCGGCCACGATGAGCAGAGCGAAACAACAGTACCTCCACTGAGCTTTCCACGCACCGCATTTGCCCCGAGTTGCTTAATGACCTGAAAGTTTTACGCACGAAACCAAGCTGGGAAGTTGGACAGGCTGCAAAGACTAAAAAGCTTTGATTTAACCACTGTGTTTCCAGGACGAGAATTTAGCATCTTGTAGTCAAGATCGAGCTTGCAATCAATGGGGCTTCCATCATACAGTAATGAACTCTGTATTACCTGCTCTCTTTGTTCTTCAGCTCAATAGAGGCTTCGAAGATACTATATATTATATAATGTATGTATGTATGTATGTATGTATGTAGGTAGGTAGGTAGGTAGGTATGTATGTAGGTAGGTAGGTAGGTATGTATGTATGTATGTATACATGATTCTTCAGGGTTTGGAGACAATGCTCCTCGACGTTGGATAGTGCATGCTGTGGGCGACAGGTACAGAAGGAACACAACCAGAACTGCCAGAACTGCCAGACATTCTGCCTTGAGGTCTCCTCTTCCGCGCTCTCCCCACCTCACATTCAACATCTGCAGCAGCAAAGGCCAGCTCTGTTTGCACTCAGCCAAATAGTCCTGAACTACAACGAAGTACTTTCTCCTCAGCCGCCGCAAAGTCACCCAAGTAAGAGTTTACTTGAGATTCCACACATGGGCTTTGCAGACTGTGAGAAAAAGTCATCCTCACAGGAAGCGGCACAACTGTTGCGCGAGTCAGCATGTTTGGGTGTTTTAAAGTTTAGTTTCGTATGTTTTTTGGGGTTTGTTTGTTCTAGTGCTCTTTAGTTTTTTTCAGTTGCTCTGAATGTGTGTGTGCCAGATTTGGCAGGGTTGCTTAACCATGATGGAATTGACACAATGACATCAGAAATGGTTCCAAACGAGGGAGAGAAACCAATGTGCTGAAAAGTGGGATTACGGTTCCAAGTCCCCTTTGGTTCAGACCCAAGATGAGTGCAACTCACGGTCCATGGTGGACTGGATTTCCAACCTCCCTAAGGAGATCTCTAAATAAGACCATATGGTCAAGGATGCTGACTTAGTCTGGTTCAGTAGTGTTTACAAGGGTGTCCCATTTTTTCGAGAATGTGTAAATTGACGAGGGTACAATGCGACTGAGACTGTCCAAGAAAACGAGACGCGTTGAAAGAAGTTGAAAGAAGTTTGAAGAAATGAACATGGGCTCAGGATGGCTCAGGCTTCCCTAGATTTACTCATGTTTTCTCCCTTGTACCCCGGGGAAGGATTGATATTGTGACAGATGTCTGCGTTGAAGTCTATGTTTCAGCTTGCCCAAAGTATTTCTGCAGTCCTGGCTGACAAAACAAGGCTGCTTGCATGGCATGGGCCTCGCAGCTCTGGTGGGGATTACACCACAGCTGCACAGGGCTTGGGTTTAGACCTTTTTAGATATTTGGAATATTTGAGATGTTCTTTCTGAACACTTTCCATTTAGAAAGAACATGTTTGAGAGTTGACTTGTATGTGTTTCTGGATGTTCAACACGTCAACGACTTGCCATGCAGAATTCTTCAGGTGCCCATGTACACTGTATTGTCACGGGGTATCACTCCGATCCCAAAGGCTGTCTGCATCTGTGGCCGGCGCCCATAGCTGATCCCTTTGATGATCTCAGACCTTGGCATATGCGCACTTCCCTCTATCTCTATAGTTGAATACAAGGATGTCATCCGTATTGCATGTGGGTATCTCGATTTTCATCTTTGGACTGCGCATGATCACCATCTGTGAAATTGAACAAGGAAACATGACTCTTTCAAACAGTGTTTGCCAAATCATCACCACAAACTGAGGTGTCGGCGCAGACGAAGCAACTTGCACCAGCCTCAAAGTAGATTGGATTTTGGAGGGCAAGACAACATTCAAAAATTCCGGAGATCTAAATTCTATCAGATGCTTGGATATTTTTTTGTGCAGATTGTGTTTGGATTGAGTGTTCACTTTCCACACCTCAGAGGGACACTCGAAACTGCATCTTGCAAATACCATTTTTCACATACCATTGCCATGCAAACACTAAAAATGCTCTACAACAAATTGCACTCTCTTGCCATGCTACAACTGCCAAAAGTGAATTGTTTTCGCCTTTTTTCCCAGTTCCCGCGCCTGATAGCCACGACAGCTGCTAAGCCTCAGGTATTAAATTGTCAAAAGATTCCAAAAACCCACATGGCCATTTTTGCAGGGTCCAGAAACAGGTTTTGCGTTGTGGTTTTGTCTGGATTTAACTTGTGTTTGGAACTTTATCTTAGAAACTCCTCAAAACCAACAGAATCCAAGGGCCTCTTGATCACAAAGAGGAGAACTAGAACAAAAACATTGTTGTGACGAATATACTGTCACTGTCGAACCAAGTTGTCCATTGGGTTCCAAACCTCAAAAATTATGATAATTATGTGATTTTAATTATTGCATTATTCAAACAGGGGCGTTTATTTTTTGAATTGATTTTTGACAAAACCATTGTGCAAACGGCTGAAAAGAATCGCAAACACAACTTGCACAAATATCAACACTGAACACAATATTGTTATTTCTACTTGAAATTCAATGTCGTCGCAACAAAGTTTCATCCCTCAGTGTATGTTTCACTCCGCCCGCCAAAGTTGCAAAAACTAACGCGGTCGAGTCACTTTTTTTCATCGCAAAACAAGATCACCTGCCGGGGTGAACAGCCCGATTTTTCCTATTGACAAATCAAATTGTAACTACAGTTTGCGTTTTAATATGAAACCCAAGCAAAGAAAACATGTTTTGAACGTTTATCGATCCAAACTAATTAAACACTCCGGGAAACGCTAAAGGGTGTACAGTGTATATATGGCAAACTGAATTTGGAACCCTCAAGGTTTTGAACAAAAAACAAACAATGGGCAGGCATACCACCGTAATTGGGCACATAAGAACTAAATACATCATCCACGGTCATGTTGTATCAAACGAAATAAGATTGAAAACCAAAGCACTCAGCGGAATGCACAACGGATGTATTGAAAACCAATTTCACCGGTTCAGATGTGCCACATATGGATTATGAGCGTCAATCCCATGTGATGGCGTTTCGGAACACTATTTCGCACCTGGAATTGGAATGTTTCAGCATTTGGAAATGTGCAAAGAAAGCCTTGAACCATGGGACACCTGCGATCATTCAACACAATGTATATCTGGCAACAGCTAAAAACATGTTGTATTGATTCAAACACACAATGACACAATGGCAATTTTATTATGTTGGTTAATGAATCGCAGTTCCATGAAAATTGCCCATCGTAGGTTCAATTGAATGTTAACCAAAGAATCACGTGACACTGTGTGCCCGGGCCAAGACCAAAAAACAAAATCAACGCAAAGTTTGATTGCGTTGCCATGAAACCAATGGGCCAATATTGGGGCAATGTCACACCACAACGCTTTAAACAACCAAATCCTTCTTACAATTTGTCTGCTCAATTTGTTGGAAATGCATCAATGTCACACACATGTTCAGCAACGAATCATGGCAATTTGGCGAGGAACCACAAAAATCAAAAAAATCAAAGTGGGCATCCATCATGGGCAAAAAAAAATATTTGCAATTGGAAGCAGATATGTCCCATGTTCGGGACAATTGCGGCCATATAGAATTACCACAAAAAGAAGACCGAATTCAATTTGCACGGATTACAATCCCTTTTTCATCCAATGACGACAACGTGAACATCAAAACCATTTTGCGTTTCTTTACAAACCGAATATTACCCCTTCCCTTCGCATTAATGTCATACCGAAAATATATACAAACAAATATTTTTCTAGAATTCAATAAGATCAAAATGACAACTGGACATCACGCAAAAAATTGGCAGCAATTCCAACGGATCATGCGTGTTCCTCCGCCACGTACTCCGCTCACTGTGTCAGACACAGCAACTCTGCCACATGCAACCTTGTCACACACAACCTTGTCACATTGAAATTTTCCTTGGGTCAAAAGCGCCTCAGAATCACACTTCTTGATTTGAGCGTGTTGCACAACTGATTGACATGTGACAAATGAATATACGCTATTGGAGCTGGAATGCAAGGAACGAAAATACCTTACACCCTGCCTCACTATTTCCTTTAGATACATGCTGAATATCACAAGAATCTAAATTGGAAAATGAACCTCCATGGAGTACGGTTGCTGGGGCATACATTGATGTGCCAATACTTGCCGGTTTCTTTGAAGCTCTCTCATCACGGGGCTCACTGAGATCCACGTTGCCCTCAGACTTCACCCTTGCAAAGGATTCAAGCGTAGCCTTTGTAGCTACGCTGGAATTTCATTGGGACTGCATCCATTGACACAAATTCTATGTCTCTTCATCCTCTTCTGCATCTTCTGATTCACCTCCTTCACCGCAATGAAGAAACCACAAATCTGGATCACTGACTTCAGACTGGGAACTCTGCAAATAGCGCCTTCGCGCCTGTGAACCAGTTTCCATTGGCGAACTGGAGCCTGATGCCTCTGCAGGGTCATAGTGCAAATTTCGAATCGCAAATGTCTACATTTGTACTGAAGCCACTGCTTGAAGCTTCGCCCGGCTGGAGTGCATTGATAAAACTCATTGCACGCTGGGCATCAGCAAGGTTCACAGCCAGTGCATTGATACTTGCCAAGTTTGGGGTATTTCATCGTCACTGGTATCTGGCATTGCTGCCAGACTTCTCAATGCAGCTGTTCTCCGACATTGATGTTCAGAACGCATTGCACCACGCAAACCATGTAGGATTGTGACTACTAAGTTTCACCAAATCCTGGGAAATTTTGTTAATGTCGTTATTTTTCCTTGAGCGCAAGACGCCTTCGATATCAACAGATTCTGCATTTGATCATAGCCATTTGGCCAGAAATGCAAAAACATGCAAGTGACTGCAAAACGTGTGTGATACCTATGCCAATCCTCTAGATAAGAACCGATACTACACATGCTCTACCTGCTGTCACATCACTGAAATGTTTCTCACCCCGCCTTTGCACTGGCCTTTGGTCATGTGCAATTTCAAATTGGAGGGTGTCTGCATGAATTAATCATCTGCTTCTTCATCGCTGGAAATGTCTGTGAGGCTTTGCATCATTTTCCATACTTCCAATCTCTGCTCTGGTCTTTCGTTGCAGAATCGGCACAAGTTTACCATGATCTCCCTTCGTTCCACATGCTTCAGCACACCTTCAGGATTTCCAGACTCCATCTCAAAACGCAATTTCTCAGTCAATCGTTGGATCATCCACATTGCCATATGCTCGGGGCTTCGAGGCTCAAATGGAGGAGCCATTTCTTCAGCAAAGAAATCGTCAGGTGGATCTGGAGGAAGCAAGCTCTCAATCTCTGGTTCAGGAGTAGACATGGTGAAACCATTGTCAAGTTCCATCGTCATGAAATCACTAGCCTTGAAGTCCGGGTCATGCACATTCAACGCACCATGCATGTCTTTCATTGACTGCAAGCTTGCTGGAGAAATTCCATCACGCTCAAACGCACAAAACAAATCCATGAAAACTTCGTAGATTGCATGCAGTGCACTGGTCTTTGCACTGTCATCTTCAGCTTCTGCCTCATCGATCAGCTCCAAGCTGCGTTTCAAGCAAATGCAAAGGAAACAGTACACTGCCGCTTTGTTGTACTTGGGTGCAGGGCTGCTTGAAGAGACTGCAGCACTGCCAGACGTGTCTTCTGGCTCTGGTTCTTCCAACATGCTGTGACGTGGTGGCATGGCAATCAGCAGTGAGGCAAACATGAAAAAGAGGATCACAATTGAAACCATCCAACATGACAGTCCATGAAGTTGCAATTGCTCAAGCACTGAAAAGGAAATTGGGCTCGTCAGGCTCAAGGCGTCTGTGGAATGCACTAGACTCAGCAGCAACAAGGTCTGCAGAGAACGCTTCGTTGCAACCATGGTTTTGTGACTACTTCTTTCACCAATGCTTTCACGCAGCATGCGCAGCACACCTCTGACATCATCTGCTGCACGTTCCCTTGTCACCACATCTGTACCAACCAATTCACCTGCACTTTCATCGTACACACCAACACCATGCATGAGGTATCTCATTCTGTCCGCTGACAACTTCTTCGTTCCAAGGTCTGCAAAGTTTTCCTTTGTAGGAATGGATGATGTTTCCAACGCCTTTGTTTTCACAAGCTGCTGCACCCACAGAACCCTGCAAGACAAGTGCCTGATGCGTCCAACGCCAGATCTGTGAAGCACTTGCTTGGCTGCACTGTTGTCCAAAATTAGCTTCAACCTGACTTTGCATCCAATGCAAAACTCCAAGCAAACACGCAAAAGCAAACCATCGCATGTTGTAGACACTGCAGCATGAATCTCTGCCTCTGCAGAGCTCAGGGCAATCACACGCTGGGTACGGCTCGTGGAAAGCAAAAGACAACCTTGGAAACAAACTATTCCAGCACTGACTGATCGTCTGTGTCCTTTGTGAGCTGCCCGGTCTGAATCTGAAAACAGTTCAATCACCACTCCATTGTCATCGGGTGGTGAATGCCACAGGCCATTCACTTTCATCTGCAGACGCAAGGAAAAGTCACGTACTGAAAGTAGGTACAAACACAAATGCTTCATCATTGTCCAGCTTCTTTCGGTTGGTGCACTCATAGACTGTGCCAATCCCCTGATGGTGTATGAGCACTCGACAAGGTCTGTCGAAAGGTAGAGCAAAATGTCCACAGCTGACCTGTATCGAGATGCCTTCTCTGCCTGGAGCAATGGAGTGTCATCTACCTCCGTCATCATTTCATGGCAAGGCACTTTCTTTGGGTTCATTGTGCTCTGAACCCCGACAACTTCAAACAACTTGTCAAAGTGACGTGGATTCTGTTGGATGTGGATCGTCGCATCATCAACAAGGACATGGATACGATGCAAAAAATCAAGGGTATCCCCAGGCTGTTTCATGCAGTGCACTGAGGTCTTGTATCTTCCATTGAGGGCTGGAAGAAGTTTGCCCTCGAAGTAATGCTGTTCTGTCACCACAAGCATGTCGTCCACGTGTAGTAAAATCAAACATTCACCACATGGACTGTGAAGCAAGCTAGGGTATGCACTGCAGTGTTCAAAGCCAAGCTTCTCATTGAGGAATCCACTCACGCTCTCAAACCAAAGTTGACTGCCATCTCGTTGCCCAGGGAGCACACGTCCCAGAGCAAAGGTCTCTGACCCTGAAGAAACAATCGTGGGTTGTTTTTGTTCAACTGTCAGAAAAGCATCGCCAATGTCAATGGCGCCCATCACAAACTGCTTCTCAGGATGTTTCATTTTCCAATGCAAAAAAACTGAAGGCAGCAAACGATTAGTGATGTTGCTCGACGCTGGGCTGAACAAGTCCTGACGCTCAGGTGACAACCAAGCGTACTCTCTTGCCACATATCGGGCTCTTCTGAGCCAACACCTCTTGCCATTCAACACCTTGTCACGCCAGGTGATGACATACCTGGTGGAAAGTCTTTTTGGGTTCATTCCTTCAACGCTCTCAGGAGGGAGACGGACACCCATCTGCTTCAAACGGGCCGTTTCCACTTCCATCGCCATGGCATCCAGGTGCTTCAACTGATCTGTGCTCAGCTGTGGCTCTTGCTCTGTATATGGAAAAACCAGCTGTTGCACCAACACATCTTCAGAAGCAGGCTCATCACCGTCATCATTTGTCAAGCCAAAGTCAAACTCTTCAAGGCTGTCCAACTCATCACTGGTAAAGGACGTATAGTTGTGGTCGTCCTCATGCTCATATTCAACACCGGCCACCACACAAATGCGCGCCTTCTTTGACGCAGGTCACGCAGGTTCATCTTCTGGTACAGGTGTCAAAGGCGCCTGTTGATCATCTTGCATAGGCTGCTGATGCTGGAGGAGGTACCATGATGCCATGCTGTGGGACAAACCCCGCCTGAGCCTGTGCCGGAATTGCTGCGGCTGGCAATTCTTCAACTGCTGGTTCCATGGGAGTTGGCGGCAAACCTCTCACAGCTTCAGCTTCAACATCCAAAACCGGTTTCAACTTGCTTGCCTCAGGTTGGACGCTTGCTGGTGGAAGAGCTGGAACAACTTGAGGTGTGGGCTTCAAAACGCGCTTTGGCACCATCAATCTTGAACCCAAGGTAGCAAATGAGCATTCCCAAGGGGACATCTCAACATTGCCAACTTCTGAAAGGATCCAAGGACTTGGAATGCGACGCACTGACCTTGTTATGAACAGGCCACCATTGCAGGAAATGATATGGGCATCATTGTTTTGTGTCTTGCCCAACCAAACTCCACGTTGCCAAGAAGGGAGCCCCTTGGCTGTGGGCTTGAGGTAGCCCATGCATGTCTCCCCAAAGTAGCACACCTTTCCATGATACTCCTTGCCAGTACAGCGCTCATATGCTGTTTCACCGTTGTTCACAGCAAACCTGCAATGCAACCATCCTGCATGGATGATGGGCCAGCTGTATAGAGGGTGCAGTGCACTGAACAGCACCTTGCCATCTGCACCAACTGAACGTTCCACTTGCTCAATCAAGAGGTTGGCCTGGCTGCGCAGGGTTTGCACAGTGATTTCTGCAGCACCATTGGCCTCTTTGTTTCCAGGCACAACAAGCTCGACTGTGGTATGGACTCCAAGTCCCTTCAACGCTTTACGGCAAGCATCCAGCAAAGAAACTGTACGTGGCTCATTGTCTGTTCTAAAGCAAACCTCTTGGTGCCCAAGCCATGTCACAAAACGGCATAGCTCCTGAGTCAAGTAAGGAAGGCTTTTGCCACCCTTGGCTGCCGTTGGAACTGCATGCATCATCTTGGTGCTTCTATCATGTATGAAGAGCACAGTCAAAGGGTCATCTGTACCACGATCAACATAGCCAAAATCAAAGGACACCAAAGAATGCTCAGACTGAAGATGGCTCTCTCGATGATGCTTGTCCTGACGCCCCTTGTGTGCCACACAGAGTTCACACCATGCTTTGAAAGGAATGTGTGTGGCATTATGCTCTCGTACTTCTTCTTCTGTAGGCTGCGCAGGGATGCCAGGTTGATTGGCTGATCTTTGCAGTTCTTTTCCCAAGTTGTGTTTCACAGAGTGGGCTGCCAATAGCTCTTGCTGTTGCAAATGCTGCACCAAACGCTTGAAAAAGTTGAGCTCGGGACCCATTCACTGAAATGCCCAAAGATGAGCAAGCTGCTTTCAAAACTGCAAGTGAAGAACTGCTGTCAATGCGTGTGCCATCCAACACTATCTCATCAGCACCAGCTAAGACCTCATCTGGTGGGTCAGGTTCATCAGGTGCAACTGGAGCCTCGAAAGGGCTTGGCACATCGACAGGTGGCATCACCTGCAAAGGAGGATTCATGGGTTCATCAGCTTGTTCCAACGCAGGTGCATCAAACTGTTCCAACGCAGGTGCAGCAACCAAAGGTTGTGGGGCTGCTGAACTTGATGAGCTTCCACCTACAGGCCCCAACAAATCCAAGGCCTCTTCAATCACTGAGAATCCCAACTGTTCATGGGTGCATTCCTTTCTATTTCCAATTGTCATCACCTCTTGCACTCATCCAAATTATGGAATGCAGTTGTGAGTGAACTTGCAGGATATTCATCTGTGACAAAACGGTTGTGTTCATGCAACTGCCATCGTCCAGAACGTTTCACCAGGGTGGTACGATACCACAGCATGCTAGCAGCTGGTGCAAGGGTCACATCAACACATGTTGGCTTGTAAGTCTTGATACCATAGCACTCAGCTCCAAGCTTTGTCCATGTAGTTCTAACATGCTGCAATGAATCCCTCAACTGCAAAGCACGCAAATGGACACTACCTGAGTCTTCAACCATTCTGATGTTTCCTATAATGCAGGCTGTTGCGCTTGAAGGCCACTGGAATGGTTTTTTCGGCTTTCACAAGGTGAAGGCTGTTGTCAACCTTCTGCAAATTCCACCCATGTTTCATCAACTTGCCAAGTGACAGCAAAGGGCTAGTTATTGAAGCCACAATGAACTCCTCTTTCAGTGAAAAATCTCCAAAATCAACTGTTGCAAGTCGAGTGCTGGAAATGTTCAATGGGCTTCCCTGTGCATCTCCAAAACGTAGTCTGTCATCTGAGGCTGTTGCAACACCTGTATGCGCATATTCCATGGGCAAAGCTGATCCATCTGCTCCACTGTCCAAGATGATTTCAACTGCTCGAACATGATTTACATCACTGGTATCCACGGTCCAAACACCATCGCAGTCAGAATATGTCATGTCAAACGTCTTGCAACTGCATGGCAAAGCATCCAAACATGTCGAAACAGCTGAAAGGCTACAAATGTGGTCACCAAGAATTGAATCTGAGGTCAGGTCATCGATCCAAGGTTCCTCAAACATCTCATCAACTGTTCTGCCAGGCCAGTCTGGGGCAAATTCAAACCTTCTGACATTGCCAACGTTCTGCTGGGGCTGTTGAACAAACGTGGTATGTGGTGATGGCTGCACAAATGAAACATGAGGCTGCACTGGCTGCTGAGCTCCAGACTGCTGTGGCTGAGAGTAACCCTGATTCACAGGTGGTGGAGGTGGCTTTTTTCGTGATTTGTGCTTGCCTGGTTCATGTTTGCCATACCAATCTTATGGGTGATACAATGTTGTCATCTTTTCTGATACGTTTCAATTCCGATGAATTAACCTGCTGATCACCAACCGTGCCGTGTTTGTGTCGTGTCTTGTTGGTTTTTTGTTGTGGGTTCTGTGTTTTCTGTGTTTTTGGGTGTTGTTTTTGTTTTTGTTGGTTTTCTTTTTTTGCTTTGCACGGTGACAGCTCAATGAATTGTGTATCGATCCTATTCAGTTCTCCTTTTGATGCACATTGTCGTCATGATGATTTTGCCACTGCATTAATTCGGTAAATTTGCAAAATGCAACTGGCTTTCCGGCTTGATAAACGACCTGGCGAGAGCCATATGGCGTTGGACGGAAAAAAAACACTGGGGTGAGGAATCTACGAAGAATTCTTACCAGGGCATCTTTGACTTTGGTCTTCCGTTCAGCAGCCATACGTCGAACTGAGATGCCAGGCTAGGATATGCCCATGGCTAAGAGCAATGGATTAGCTTGTGCAAAGACCAATAATTCTCGGCAGCTTTTTGTGTCTCCTAGGCCAATTGCTGCAAGACAAGAGGAAGAGTTCCATTAAACTCAATTGGATGTGGCCAGTTATGACGTAGGTCGAAGTAATCAGAGTGCTGCCCATACTGTTCAATGAGTCGACCGCAGAACGTACGAGCCATATATTCGTACATTGGGGCAAGGCAGTCGGGTCTGCAGCACCCGGTGTGCCTTGTGTAACAAGTATGAGTACATGGAATCCAGCATACACTTCATAACTTCATACTGATAGGTGGCAGTGAGCTGCATGCCCTGTTGCCCTTGCACTGTGGTGAACAACAGCCAATCCATGTTCAGGCGGATGATGAGCCATCAGGAACTGGTTCTGTACCTCAACAAAGTGCTGCTGCAGCATCATCTGTTGTGCCGAGATCGAGCAAGCGCGACACAGAACATGAGAACTCAGGTGGGGATTCAAAACGTCTTCACTCTGAAGGTGCTGATACTCAGATGCCTCATGGAGATGTTGTGCCACAGACACCGTAGTCTGAAGCTGGACGTGATTTGGTTGATGATACTCCATTTGAACACATGATGTCTCCCAACAAGATTGCCAAGCATGGCGATGGTCCAGGCAGTGTCAATTTGCTGGGACAACTGCGACAGATTGAGCATTTGGACATCGAGCCCGATGTTGTTTTGCAAGAGCAGGATTTTGATGTTATGCTGCAACATGAGTTGAATCTTGATGAAGATCCTTATGAACCTGTTTCAGAGCTCAGCAACCGCATGAAGGAACTCAGTTATCCTTACAGCCCACAAGAGCCACAACTTGAACCTGATGAACTTCAACGACTGGACAGCATTGCAGATCAAGTTGAGATTGAACGTTTGTTTGGTCTTCATGTCTTGCTTGAAGACACCCTACCTGCTGATGCGAAGTGCCTGAGCACACGTTTTGTGCGCACTTGGCGCGAAAAGAAGGACGATGCTGGCAATGCAATCTGGTTGAGGAGAAGCAGACTTGTGGCAAGGGAATACACTTGGTTGCAACCTGACAGAGAAGCCTTGTTCTCACCGGCTTCATCCAACATTGCAACCAGAATCTTGCCCATTTGTTTTCTTGCTTTGAGGGAACATCAAGAGACTTTGATGCTTGCAATTGATGTGAAGGACGTCTTCCTGACAGTTGAGCAAGAGCAACCTACACGTGTCAGGTGCACTGACGCAGGAACCTCGATTTCCTACAGTCCTGGCTGAGTTCTGCCAGGTCAACGTGATGGTAGCTTCTTTGGCACAAGGATCTGGCGAAGTTTCTCGAAAGCAGACAGAAACACACGCAGATCAGTTTCTGGCAGCGCAATCTTCTATGGTGGATGCTGGTGTACTCGTCATCAAGGACTCAGAAGATCGTGTCACTGTCGAGCGCAGAATCTGAAACATATGCTGCCGCTTCAGCTGTCATGGATGCCATTCTCATCAGAGCTATTCTTTGTTGGGTGCTCCAAGTCCGCATTCTCATGTATTTGTACTTGGATTCATCTGCAGCGCTTTTTTCCGTCCAACGCCTCTTGGCTTTCGCCAGGTCGTTCAACACGTTCAGTTGCATGTTGCATAGAACCGGTAAATTAACTAATTAATGCATACATATAGCCGCCATCTGGTTGGGGGCCACAAAAGTGAACTGGTATGGGACCTGTACATAGTCCAGCAGCCGTCACGATTCCATTGCAAAAACACAGCAAACAAAAAGACAACACCCAAAGCAACAGAACAGACAAAACCAAAACCAAACAAAAAACAAGC